TGTCCAAATCAATCTGATTTAGTTACCTTAGTAACGTAACTACTCATTGGTCATTGGACAAAGATCTTACACTGAGAGTGCCAAAAAATAAATAATATTTATAGAAGGGCTAAAGATAGTGGGATTCTTAGTATTTTCTGTTCCTTTTTCTACCACTCTGTCAGTGTAGAAGTAAAACAGGGTGACACAGGTCTGAGGGCCATTTTGTAGTTCTCTTTGTTGCATGAGTTGCCGTGATCAAAGAATACATTGTTAATAGGTCAGCATACTGGTGCGGGGGACAGACAGATGGCACAGTGGATAGAGCAATGAGCTTGAAATCAGGAAGACTCATCTTTTTGAGTTCAAATCTGGCTTCAGGCACCAGCTGTGTGACCCTGGGCAAGTCACTTAACCCTATTTGCCTCAGTTTCCTCATCTATAAAATGAGCTGGAGAAGGAAATGGCAAACCACTCCAGTATCTCTACCAAGAAAACCCCAAATAGGGTGGCAAGGAGTTGGACACAACTGAAAATGACTGAGTGCAATCTGGTGGTGAGCCTTTCTATACCTGGACAGGCTGGTGCTAGGAAAGCAGATTGGTTATTGCCAGGAACACCTTTGGAATCTTTCCAACATGATAGAAACTTCCAAGGCTTGTTTTCCACAAACAAGGCTACCTCCACACCAAGCTGAGGCACCAGAGGAGGACTTCGTGGAGGAATCTCACATAAAAGAAGGGAAAGGATTGCTTCTGTTTGTTCTAGGCCTTAGGAATGTCTCAAAACTTGTTTCTGTTTTACCCTCAAGTTCAAGGCTGCTCGACTTGGATGTGGTAGGTGGGGATAAATCAGAAACATGCAGTGGTGCAGAAAAAGAAATGAAGGAAACAAGCACTTATTAAGCACTAGTGTGTGCCAGATGCTGAACTAAGCACTTAACAAATATTACTTCATTTGATCTTCACAGCAATCCAGGAGGTAAGTGCTATTGTAATCCCCATTTTACATTTAAGGAAAAGGAGGCAGGCAGCAGTGATGTGACTTGACCAGGATTGCAGATCTAGTAAGTGTCTGAGGCTAGATTTGAATTCAGATCTTCCTGACTCCAAGTCCAGTGTTCTCTCCGTTGTACTATCCAGCTGCCTCAGAAGAAAGACTAGTAGATGGAGAGTCAGATGACCTGTCTGCATTTAAGTGTTGGCTCTGCCACTGTGCTGCGCGTGTGATGTGGGCAAGTTCCTTCCTTCCTCTGGGACTCAGTATTTATCTGTAAAATGAGGGATTTTGACTAGTCAGCCTCTCCTCCTATGATCAATCTATCAATATATATCTTATCCATCAGCATCTATCTTATCTATCACTAAGCTATCTTTCATCAGAATATCTGAAGGCATTCAGTGGACAGCAAATGGAAAAAGAACTGGGCAATAATTGCATTAGGAAGAACATTGAAATATTGGGAATTAGAAGCCCTTGCTTGATGTGGCTTATCCTGGCTCTGTAATCTTGGGCAAATGACTTCACCTCTCAGGGTTTTGGTCCCTTATCCATAAAAAGAAGAGAGTGAGCTAAATGCTCTCAAATTTTTTTTCCAGTTCTAGACTTCCATTTATCTGTGAAAATGAGGTATCCCCATTTTTTCTCTCTGATGGCCAAAATTAGCAAGACAGACTTAGGTTAGCAATAATCAAGCCCTACTGTCTTGTGAAGTCTAAAGTCTGAAATAATTTTTCTTTTCTTGTTATGAATGGGTAATATGAGGAACCATAGAAGAAAACCTAAAGAAGGCATCCAATACTCCAACTGACACCTAGTTGTGGTACCAGTCACTGCAAAACATAAGGTATATAGTTGGATCCCCCATTCCCATAGCCTCAGAGCAATTAGGCAGTACAGCGGATAGTCACCATGCTAAGTACTTTTAAACATTCTCTCATTCAATCCTTCCAACAACCCTAGGAAGCAGGTGGTGTTATTATCCCCATTTTACAGTTAAGGAACCTGAGTCAGACAGAAGTGAAGTGATCTACCCAAGGTCATATAGCTAGTAAATATCTGAGGGTGGATTTGAACTCAGGGCTTCCTGACTCCAGGTCCATATACTATCCATTGTGCCACTGTCTTCTCTAGACAGAAGATGCTACACAAGTAACTAACCCAAGGAATACATGGGAAGAACCATGAGATTTAATTGAACAAACATTTGTTGCCTTATAGTATCAAAGTATTTCCTAAATCTTGGTGGCCCAAATTGAGTGAAATTCTCTAGATGTGGTCTTTCTAGTGAAGAATTCAGAGGAACAGGAACCATCTTAAACCTGTAGACTATATATCTGTCAATCCAGATTAGTGTTTTTTTGGCCCTGCCACATTCACTCTTTAATCTTTTTCAGATGAAATGATGCCTAGCCATACTTCCCCCATCTTGTACTTAGGAAGTAGCTTTTTTGTACCCAATATACAAAACTTTGCATTTATGCCTCTAGAGTTTCATCTCATCAGATTTGGCCTAGTGTTCTAGCCTGCCTAGATTCTTGGATCCTAACTGTCATCCCCCATGATCGTCATTTTTTCTAGCTTTGTGCCACCCACATATTTGATAGACATGTTCTTTATGCCTCTATCCACAGTATTGACAAAAACAATAAAGAGCACAGGGCCAACCACACAGCCGTGAGGCATCTCACTGGGGATTTCCTCCCACTGTACATCCTCAGGATTTACCACGGTGCCTGGCACAGAGAAGGCACTTAACAAATGCTTGTTGACTGATCCTTTGCATATCCTGGGGGAGATACAAATCTTAGATAACATGTAGTGTCTGTCCTGTAGCTTATAGTCTAGTGGGAGCAGCATACACACAGATAGCTATAATAATAATGAGCCGGGATTTACGTAGTGCATATCAGTGCCAGGCACCATGCTAAGTGCTTTACATATATCATCTCACTTGATCCTTACAACACCAAGAAGTAAGTGTTATCATTAACCCCATTTTAAAGTTGGGGAAACTGAGGCAGACAGAGGTTAAGTGACTTGCCCAGGGTCACACAGTAGTAAGTGTCTGAGGGCAAATGTGAACTCAGGTGTTCCTGATTCCCTGCAAGGTCCTGTATGTTACCACCAATGAGATAAGAGGAGCAATACAAAGAGTTACGTAGTGTCTGAGAGGGGTTGGCACATAGGCACCATGGTTTGCATTTTGTAACACAGTAACCCTTATGAAGCAAAAGCTGAATTTAGAGTCGTATGTGCTATTTACTACTTATTTGAAGGCAGTTAGGTGGCACAGTGGATATAGAGTGCTGGGGCAAGGAGTCAGGAAGACTCATCTTTCTGAGTTCAAATCTGGCCTCATAAATAGATGAATTCATTTAAAAAAAATGATTGTACATGTATGGCCTATATCAGATTGCATGCTGTCTTGTGGAGGCAGAAATAGGAGGGAACATTTAGAACTCAAAATCTTATAAAAGCGAATGTTTGGATAGAGCACCAGCCCTGGAGTCAGGAGGACCAGAGTTCAAATTTGACCTCAGACATGACACTTAGTAGTTGTGTGACCCTGGACAAGTCACTTCACCCCAATTGCCTCACCAAAACAAACAAAAACACAAAAACAAAAAGTGAATGTTGAAAACTAAAAATTAATTCATCAGATCTGGCCTCAGACACTTATAGCTGTGTGACCCTGGGCAAGTCACTTCGTCCTGTTTGCCTCAGTTTCCTCATCTATGAAATGAGCTAAAGAAGGAAATGGCAAACCACCCCAGCATCTTTGCTAAGAAAACCCCAAATAAGGCCATGAAGAGTAAACTACTTTATGACCTTGGACAAAATCATTTATCTTCTCTAGGCCTCAGTTTCCTCATCTGTAGAATAGACTAGGTAACCTTAGAGATCCTTTATATCTCTAACCTTTGATCTAATGACTTGAGATAGGGCCTTGGGTAGAGCTGGGTTGGGAGAGGGGTGGTATGGAATAGTGCTAGAGATTCATGTAGCAGGGGAGGAAGACAGTGCAGAGAGGCCAACTCCACACTTTTTTCTCCCGACAACTTCTACAGTTTGCTAGAGAGTCACCGTTGTTTTCACTGATGTTAGGTCATTCCTTACTCTTTTCTGTACCTGACTTTCCCCAGCTGGGATACTGGGATTATATCATCAAGCGAGGAACACTACTAATAATAATAACTGACATCTACGTATTACGCTAGACGTCACAAAATACTTTGCAATCGCCATTTCCTTTGATCCTCAGCACAACCCTGCAATGTAGGCATGACGGCTGTTATCATCATCCCTGTTTTATAAGCAAGGAAACTGAGACACAAAAAAGCCAAAGTGACTTGTGCAAGGTCGAGCACCACCAAAAAGGCCAGGATTTAAGCCAGGGTTTTCTGACTTCAGACTCGGACGGTGCTCTTTTGATTACGCCATGGACCTGTATTTCAAGAGATTTGGAAAATACGAAGAATCACAGAAGCACATTCACTGCTATGACATTCACTTTGGGAAAACAAAGGAAATTAAATCTGCTCAATCTTCATGAGTGACCTACAACATGATCCCCAAACATGGACAGGTGATGAGTAACCCTGATCTGCACTGAGGTGTTAAGCCATCTCAGGAGCCAGGAAAGTTGAGAGGCAGCTACCTGACACCCAAGTCTTTCATTAAGTTAAGCAGACAGCCCAGGGATGCAAGCAGGTGTTAAACTTCCTCTGGAAAGTGTTAATCTTCTGGCTAGCGGAAAGAGATCAAGTCTTCTTTCAGGCATTGTTTGTCCTTTTGTTCTGCTTTTTAGCTGGAACACGCCTCCTCCTCTTCAAACTCATCTCCCCCCTCACTTCCCATAGATGAGATTTGAAAAGCTCTTCCAGAGAGATTGCTGCAAACAAATCTCACCCTGTCCCCACAGCTATAAAAGGACCAAGGACCAGGAGGAAGAGAGAAGAGGAAGATCGAGAGAGAGAGAGAGAGAGAGAGAGAGAGAGAGAGAGAGAGAGAGAGAGAGAGAGAGAGAGACAGAGAGAGAGACAGAGAGAGAGAAACAGGTGAAAGAAAAGAAGAGAGACAGAGCAAAGGGATCACACAGCCCACAAACATTCGTGCACACACGCACCCTGACTGCAAGAGACAGAAGGCAAGACCACACTTCAGACAGCAGGTAAGGAGGGGAAAACAATATATAGGCTAAGCTTTTCAGTCTGATCCCTGTCACCAAAAAGCCTTGTCCCTAGGGTTTCTTATCACCTTTTCCCACTGAGATCAAAGGATCTATGAAGCATTTAAGGTTCTCCTGATCCTAAGGGTGCAGATGAGTCAGTTTTGGTGTGTCAAACTTGGCAATATCAGTCCTTGGTCTTTAAAATTTTTAAACACCTTAGATTTCTGAGGCAAATGTTTTGAACTGAGAAGTTGTGAGGAACAGCCATTTCTTTAGAAATAGGAACTTCATCATCTTTTAGAGACAGAGAGAATAACCACACCAGTTTACATTTCTCGAGACTTTTCCTTCCAAGCTTAAATTGCTTTGTAGACAATGTCTCTTTGTCTGCATAATATGTTCTTGAAGAAGAGCACCCAGGATCCACTGAAAGAGTGGAATATGACAGAGATACTCCCATCTGTTTGCCTGCCTCCCTTCATATCTTCATTCCTTCATTCTCTTCTTTCTTTAATTTTTCTTTTTCTCTCTCTCTCTCCATCTCTCTCTTTCTCACTCTTTCCTTTTCATCTTACGCATTGTCTTCCATCCACTAAGTTAAAAGTAAAAATGAGAAAGCAATATTGTATTTCTACTCAATTTTTTTTTTGCTTTGATGATACATTATATTTTGCTGTTACTTCTTAAATTCAATATAAACTGGGAACAAAGCTAACTCTGGAAATTATACTACGTACATTAGTGAAAACAAACTGTTAAAGTCATCACTAACTTTTCATACAGACTTTTTCCCCTTAGTCTTCATTTTCATGTTCGCTCACATCACCTGACATAATTGAGTTATTAGCATTGTCTGAGTAGCCTGTTATTTATAGATTAGGGCCAACTTACTTAGTTCAACAGAATTACAGACACTGAGTTTCTCTTTCCCATAAATGTTTGGTTTTAACTTAAGTTTTGATGGTTATGAAGTTGTGCACGGTTCTGAAATCTCCTTTTTCTGTTCTGCTAGACAGAATTGTAGAACTTTACATTGTAGAATTAATTTCTAATTCACAGAAATAGAAAAGATTTAGGGCTAAGTGCTCAGCCCAAGGCTCTTCCTGCTTCCTAAGTTTTTATGAAAGAAAAAGATACTTTGACACAATGACAAAACATCCATTCTCATCCAGCCAGTTTATTTATTTATTTTATTTTTTGAACAAATGCTGGTTGGGATGCTGTGCTATACCCATAACCTAGTTGGTTATGGGTACGGATGTGTTCATTCAATTCTACTTAACTCTATTTCAATTTGATGAGAATTAATTAGGCATCTGCTATGTACTAAGCACTATGCTAGATGGCCTTAGAGTTCCTTTCCAACTCTGAGATTTTGTGATTCTCCAGTCAGCTTTGCTCCCATCCCCACTGGTCACTTTTACTTTTCTGTTTTACTTTTGCTAAGTTGCCTGGCTTGACTTGAGCCACCAGCTTCAGCCTGTCAATGAACCAAACAGGTCTATGGAAACTCTACTCTTCCAGCTGAAGTTTATCAATAAAAAAAAGGTTTCCTTACAAATGCTATTGAAACTGCTCTATCCAAGGTCATTATTGGCCTTTTCTGCCCTCATTCCCCTTTATCTCACTGTAGCATCTGATATTAAAGAATTCTAAAAGAAACAGAAAATCTGGACAATGGTGACACCTGCATGCAAGTGACCTACAAGACTTATCCCTGCTCCTGCACCTGCTGTTTGATAATGCTGATTACTTTTCTCCCTAAAATTAAGGCTAGTTTGCAGCAAAATTGTAATGAGGATGAGGTTTCTTGTTAGTCCCTCCATATCCCTTCAATACCCCTACATGCTGGATACTGTCATTAGAGCTACAAGGAGTCTCTCATTTTACAAATGGGGAAATTAGGGCTCAGAAAGAGGAATTGACTTGTCCAAGATCACTGAGATGATTTCAGAGGCAGGACTAGAACTCTGGTCTCCTGAATCCTGGTTTGAAGCTGATCTCTCATTCTTCCCCCTAGGTTTCCTGAGCCCTGCCCCATGTTGTACCACCAGGGAGTTCATAATGGACAGCTCTAGACTGTTTCTAAGCCATTCCTTGTGACTCCCCCTTTAAACTTTACCTATGCTGCCCTGTTTCTCCAGGGCCACACTTTCCCTTGGGATAATCTGATAAACAACACAGTTTCATCCTCTATAAAATGTGTTAGATTAGATGATTACAAAGGTCCCTGCCACTCTAGATTCTGTCCTGTAAAAGTGAAAAAAAATTCCACGCCAACTTAACAATTCAGGAAACATTGGCTCTTTCTGGAGAATCAGGGTTAATGTTAAATATTGTGAAGTCTATTCAGAAAGACTTTGCTCCGTATTTAGACTTCAATAGATGTCAATGATACTGATGAATATTAATAAGCATAGCTCTTTCAAGATCCTGGTTTTATCATCCATATGTTGAAGATTTCTTCTGCCACCATTTGGGATGTTGACAGTAGTTAAACTCTGGATGTTATAGGTCATCATTAGCAGCAGCAGAAACAAACATTGATTTTGCATCTTGTCTGTGTAGGGCATGGGGCCAGGTACTCAGGATATCAAGAGACATAAAACAAAGTTCAGTCTCTCCCTTGAAGAAGCTGACCCCCGTGAGCAGACAGAGCATAGACACAAAAGCTAACTAAAAATTCTAGAAAAGAAACATAGTGTAGTGGGGTAGATGTCTAGGCAATAGGGTCCAAAATAAAAAATAACTCAAATTTGTATAGCACTTTGTGCTTTACAAGGATTTTTACACATTATCATATTTGATCTTAGTGATAATTCGGTGAAGTCAATTCTGTTATTATTCCCATTTTACAGATAGAGAAACTGAGACCTAAAGATGTTATATCTTGCCCAGGATCACACAGCTAGTAAAAGTTAAAGGCAGGATTCAAACCCAGATCTTCTTGACTACAAATCAATCACTATGATGTGTTGCCTTTGACCTGGGTTTAAATTCTGCCTCTGATAGATACTGGCAATAACTCTTAAGCTCTCAGTGTACCCAGGCAATTCTTTATTAGTTTTACTTAACTGCTTTACTTTGTTACAAGGACCTCTTACAAAGTGGGAGCAATCTATAAATGTTTGTTCTGTAAAAACAAACAAAAATACAAGGTGTCCCAAAAGTCATACAGCCACTTTAATTTTTATCAGTTGAAAACTGTATTAAGACTTTTAGGACACATTATAATAGGCAGTGCGTGCTAAGTGCAAAATGATGGTTCTGAAGGTGTGTGTGTATGCTGTCAGTGTGTTAGTCAATTAGCATTTACTAAGTTCCTACTGTGTGCCAGGCACTGCTCTAAGCTCATGTGTATGTTGAGTTGTGTATGTGCCAGGGTAGGGGAGTTCAGGGGATAGGGCTGGAAGCTCGAGTATTTAGAGAAGATTTCATAAAGGATGGAGGACTTGAGCTGGCCTTTGAAGGGAAAGCAGCACTTAAACAAGTGGAGGGAGAAACAAGTGGAAGGAAAGCAGGCATAAGACTGAAGTACATGTGCTCTGCTGGGAAGTGGAGAAGGAATAACGAGTTTGACCAAAGTGGATGGTCTGTGTAGGGGGAATGGTGAGAAATAAAGCTAACGAGGTAAGTCAATCATTAATAATCTTTAATGCCAGACTGAAGAACTGGGACTTTATCCTGTAGGCTGGTAATGGGGAGTCATGGAGAGTTGGGGGCGGGGGTGAAAGGAGGATGATATTGGCAAAGGTGTCAGTGAAATTAAGCTGGCAGCTGTGTAGAGGATGGACTAGAGGTGGGTAGAGTTGGAGAAGAGGAGGCAGAAGCCCCGTTGGAATAGTACTGCACTAATTCCAGCATAAGGTGATAAAAGCCTGGATCAGGGCAGCTGTGGAGGAGGGCAGAATGGGGGCCAAAAAGAAGAAGCAGGAATAAAAGATATCATGAAGGAAGATTGTGTAGTATTTGGGGGCTGAATGGATATGACAGGGAGAAGGGTTAATGACAGAGAACTAGAAAAATAAGGAAGAAGAACTGGCTTGGGGAGAAATAGGATAAATTTGAATTTATAGAGATGTTAAATTTGAGATGTAGATGTCCCCCCAGGTATTTGAAAAGAAAGGACTGAGGCTCAGGAAAGCAGGATAGATTTGGGAGTCAGCAATATAAGCCAAAGTCATCAGGGGGAACAGATCTTTGAGGGAATGAATAAAGTGAAGACAGAGAAGCAGGAGAGCTGAGATGATATAGGGAATATTACAGAAGGAAAGCTATAGATAGAGATATGTCTTTGATGGGGAGACATGTTAAAATATATTATAACATATAATGTAATATATTACATATTATATGTAATATAACATATTATGATGCATCACACATTTTTAGATATGAAATATATATGTCTTCCCATCACATGTTTCAGGGATACTTACATACATATATAGTTGTTATGAAGACAAAATTTTTAAAGTATATGAAGACTATTATTATTCTGAGGATTTGAAGACAAAAGCATTATAGTCTTTACCTTCAAGGAGCTTAAGTTCTAATGCCACTTATAAGACACGTGGGATTAGTAGAAAGAATCCTGGATTTGAAATGATTAAAGACATAGATTTGAATCCAGTCTGCTGCTTACTATTTGTGTGACCCTAGGCAAAGTCCTCTCTGGGCTCAGTCCCTTCACTTGTAAAATTAAGGGGATTTGAACTAGAAGATTCCTATAGTCCCTTCTAGCTCTCTCTCTCTTTTTCTCTCTCTGGTAATGGACTGAGTGACTTCACACAGGGTCACACAGCCAGTAAGTGTCTCAGGCTGGATCTGAACTCAGATCTTCCTGACTCCAGGGCTGGTGCTCTATCCACTGCCCAACCTAGCTGTGCCTCCCTTCTAGCTCTAAATCCTACTATAGACCACACTCTAGTTTTATACAAGCCAGATTTGAAGAAAATGTGTGTCCTTAATTTCTAAATTAAACAGAGTGAGTTATAAAATCATTTGTTGTCCCTGTCTTCCACAGTTACTCTGGCTTTATCCACTCAGTCCAAGAGGAGTACAAAACATTTAACTGGTCTACTTACAAACAACACTCCATCTCCTGTTTCCATGTCTTTGCACTGGGCTGTCCCCCATTCTTGGAATGCTCCTCTTCTTTACCCCCACGTCTAGGAATCCCTGGTCTCAAGATTCAGCTCAAGGGCCACTGTCTCTGCATAAAGGCTGATTTCCTGGTTTGTTGGCACTTTCTTCCCAAATGAAACGAAATTTATTTTATTTTATTTTTTAAATTTTTTGTGTGTGGGTTTGGTTTTTCTTTTTTGTTTTGTTTTTGTTTTTTGTTTTTTTGGGTATATGTGCTATCTCCCCTGTTAGAATGTAAGGTCCTTGAAGGCAGGGAAAATTTCTTTTCTGTCTTTGTATCTCCAGTGTCTGGCACATGGTACATGTTTAATAAATTCTTACTTTATTGATTCAATTACCTCCTTCAACTGGAGGGATAGGTATAAAAATAAATAGAAGTAATATAAAGTAAAAAAGAAGTAAAGTAAAAAAAATAAATAGAAGTAAACAAACATACCTGATTACAATTAACCAACAAATATTTATTAAGTGTTGACTTTAGAAGTCAAACTCACTTTTGCAACCTTCAGAGCTTAAAATTTAGTTGGCAAGAGAAGACTAACACCAATTTTAAGATGAGCTTCCCATTTGTAGGGAATAAAGAAGAGCTTTGAGCTGGAGTGGGAGAGGAACTTTAGACAATTTTCCTACTTGAATCAAATCTTTTGAATGTAGCTTTGTTATTTGTTTTGTTGTTTTCAATTTGCCTCATATTCTAGAATCCTGGAAATTCAAAGTTGGAAGGGACCTTAGAGAGATCATTTAGCTCAGTGTCCTTGTTTTTCAGATGAGGAAATGGGGTGGGGCTGAAATTAAGTAACTTGTCCAGGGTGGTTAAGTACTTGCCCAAGTAACATAGGAGTTTCTGGCACTTAGTAGGTGCTTAATTAATACTTTTTGAATAAATGAATGAGTGTCAGACCTAGAATTCAAACCCAGGTCTTCCAGGACCAAACCCACTGTAGTGTACTATTTATCATAATTACCAAACCTTCTTATCCTGCTTCCTTTCTTTTTCCTCCCCTCCATGTCATCAATCTTGCCATATAGCTCGAAACTAAGACTTTCAGGACACCCAGTATTTTTTAACTTGTCAATATGTTTCTCATAGCTGGACCTCTCAGATCTCTTCCTGACTAAATTTGAAGCCTGGCTTAGAACAGGGATACCTAGTGTATTAAATCATTTAAGAAATTCAAGCAGGGTAGTCTAATCTTTCAGAAATTCTATGTATAGTCTGGGGCTAAGTACTGGGGTGTCAAGACTTAGGAATTGTTGTATATGTTCCACAGTTCTATATGATCTTGCTTTCTATAGGACACCCTAACCAACATTGATGGTACCAGGAAGCTTGCTAATAAAATGAGGGTCATACAGCCTTGTGGACAGACTACGGCTAGAGTGGAAAAGTGTTATTAATTTGGAAAACAGAATACAGGCTGCTTAGACTCTGATATCATAGTCTTGAATATGCTTTTAGGGGTAGAAATGGCATTAAAGAGGGCAAAGAAGATAAAAGAGAGGAGGACCAAAACAAGTATATATGTCACTGGAAGACATATAGCTGGGAGAGAATTAAAAGATTGATTCTCAAGGTGATTTGAAAGAGAAGAAGTTACCAAGATTGTGAAGGGAAAAACATCAAACTTTATTACTATTCAAAAAAGGTAACTGGAAAAATACCATTCTATTTACCTACTTTCCTGTCCATATAAAATTTTTGTAAGAATAATATATAGATGTATTGTGAGAGTATTAGTGAGAGCATCATTAGGAAATAAGCAGACTTTGGTAATATTACAGTAGATTACATCTCCACCATCAAACAACTGATGTAAGAAATGTATGATCTCACTGAACTTATTGTTTGCAGATTAAAAAAAGAATTTGATTTGGTTAAACAAAGCTCTGACTTGAAGGCTTTCTTTATGTCCCCCCAGCATGTGTCAGTATTTGATGAAATTCCTTGAAAGATGTAACAGAGATGCCCTGCTAGGTATCCCTCTGATCATTAATACCAGGGGAGGCAAGATATATATTACCAAAAATTTTCACCTCTACCAGGACAGAGCCCAAGTTGTACTTACCTAGTTTGATCTTGAATAATAAATATCCAGTAACTGGTACAGTAAGAGAAAGGATTCCAGATGGGGGAAAGATCAGTTCCTTCTAGAGTAGTCCAGGGGAGATTCCATGGAGGCCATTTTTGGGTTGGGACTTGAAAGATAGATCCTAGGGTCATAGATTTCAAGCTGGAAGGGAATTAGAGGTCATCTAGTTCAACCCTTCATTTTACAAATGAGGAAACTGAGGCCCAGAGAAATGAAGTGACTTGCCCAAGGCCACATAAGTAGGCAGGGTTAATATGAGCAAAGAGGTGTGTGAAGACATTGCAGATGGGAAGAATAGTAAAGCTGAAGATGTAGGAATAGCTAATCTGGGTTCGGGAAGCAGTGAGTTAACCAGTGACATAAAAATTGTCCGAGGATTCATTGATAGGTACTGCTGTCAATCACACTTACTGCTACCCAGAGACACTCTAATAACCAGTTTATTAAATGCTGGGCATAGTTCCAAGGTATGCAAAAACTCACGGGCCATGCTTCAGCAACATTTTATAGGTTTTAGTTACAAGGCAAGATGGATACAATAGAATTTTCCAGAGGACAGAAAGGGAAGGTAAACGCTTACACTTCAAAGAACTGAGAGCAGAAGGCAAAGAACTACAGCAAGTGAAACTATAAACTAGCCAGTAAATACTAGGGATAAAGATGGAATTTTCAAACCAGCCATTAACCTCAGAGCTATGCCTAGCTACTTGACACGCTCATCTTAAGTAAATAAAAGTAATAAAAATGACCCAGAAAGTTATCACCAATCAGTTAATTATCTAAGCTAAAGTTGGGTGTCTCAGCTAAATTCTGCAAGCTCTTGCTAGTGATGACTTTCTGTTCAAACAGATATGGCAATACTAAAATTCTCTTACCTCAATATGGCCTGAGCAGAAGATTTGTGTAAGGCAATGGGAAAGGATATGCCTAGAAAAGGAGGTAGAGTGGAGTCAAGAACACTTAAGTTCAAATCTGGCCTCAGACATTTACTAGCTGTGTGACCCTGGGCAAGTCACTTAACCCTGTTTGCCTCAGTTTCCTCATCTGTAAAATGAGCTGGAGGAGGAAGTGGCAAACTAAGAGAGCCTCAAATGGGGGTCACAAAGAATAGGAAAAAAACTGAACAACAGCAATAATGAGGGACTTGGCTTCAACCTTGCCCCTTTCTTACTACCTGTGTGATCTTGGGCACATTTTATTCACTTCCCTGGGCCTCAGTTTCCTCATGAGGAGAGCTGGACTAGATACCCTCTGAGGTCCTTTCAGCTCCACATCTTTGATTCTATGAGGATATAGAGAAAGAGAGAAAAGAGCAGAGCCTAAGTCTCTCTCCTTGAAGATCTCATAAGATGGGTAGTTCATCAAAGAACAAACATTTTCAAGGAGGTAACAAAGCTTGGAAGGGGGCAGGGGAAGAATCGTGTCTAAATTTATGGAAAGATTTTAAGGTCCAGTCCAGATACTGCATGCTTTTGAAGTGTTCTTTGATTCTCCCACCAGAAGTTTCAGGTGATTCCCCCTCCCCCTCTTCATTTTGTGCTGGAGCACTGTGGATTTCTCCTTAGCCCCATCACAACCTACCCTGCATTGAACATCTTGTACAGCTAGCATTCTTCCTATGAGACTGGAAGCTCTTTGAGGGAAAGAGCTATGAGTTTTTCTCCTATCTTTGTATTCCCCTCCCCTCCAGGCTTAACACAGCGCCTTAGACATTTTTCTTAGACTGGGTCTGTGGTTTCATTAGTATAGGTAAACTCCCAGTGAGGAAACTCCCTCCACTGATACCGATATGTAGTATCTGCTTTGCAACTTATACCCTTAGCTACCTGGGTCAATGAGAGATTAATCAATTTGCCCAGAATCACAGAGACAGGTCTTGAACTCAGGTCTTCTTAAGACTGAGGGCAGTGAGGTGATGTGGTGAATAGAGTGCTGAACTGGGAGTCAGCAAGACCTCAGTTCAAATCCTGCCCCAGATACTTACCAGCTTTGTGACCCTGGCCAAATTCCTTAACCTCTCAGCTTCACTTTCTGCATCTGTCAAAGCACTTTGCCAAATGTTTTGTTTGTTTGTTTTTGCTTTTTGCTAGGCAATGGTGTTAAGCGACTTGCCCGGGGTCACAGAGCTAGTAAGTGTACGTGTCTGAGGTCGCATTTGAACTCAGGTCCTCCTTACTCCAGGGCCGGTGCTCTATCCACTGCACCACCTTTCTGCCCCTTTGCCAAACTTTTAAGTGCTGTCTTTGTTAGCTAATATTACAGGCTCCTTCCTACCTTGTACTCAATAAGCATTTGATAAACGTGGATTTGAAGGGAATTGAAGGGTTGGTGGGACTCAAGGAGGATGGGGACAATAGGAGAGTGATTCGGGAAAGTCCCTTAGCTTCTCTGAGCCTCAGTTTCCTCATCTGGAAAACAAAGGGGTCAGATTAGAGGATTTCTAAGGCCTCTTCTAGCTCTAACACTCTATGAATTGCTCTGCCTTTCCAGAGCCAAATGGAATTTGTCGTTTTGTTGTCTTATTTCTTACTGCCCATAATCTCACAGCCAGGCTAAAAAACTCTAGGTTGGCTCTGCCAAACTTTCTCAAAGGGAAACATGGTACTCAGAACTATTTTTCTGACTTGGGGAGATGGGTGGGGAATAGGTGCTTATGAAAGTAGGCAAAGGAAACCAAGAAAGTCCTCTTGTTTTAAAAACAAAAACAAAGACATCTTCCCCCATGTTTGGCTCTAAGTAGGAATTTTTTGGAGTTAACTAGCTCCTGTTTTAAAATGCAATTGCCCCCTCTAAGTCATTGCATCATTCATACCTGTCTAGTCCAAACCCCACATTTTCCAAAAGATGACACTGGCTTTCCTGCTACCTGGATAAGCATGTTCACCTAAACTAGTCATTTCCCCTCTCAATAAAATGGGTGCTGGATCAGATCATTTCCCAGGTTCTTTCTAGCTTTACGTGCTGCTGGTTGTCTGATTGCAGAAGGAAAAGAAAGGGGTAGCCAGAATTGTTTTAAGGCTTCTCTATGTTACGTCGCTCCCCACCTCTGTCCCAGGTTGTTGTGCCTTGTTGCACAAAGCCTTTCCCTCCTAGGTCTTTTTAGCCCCTTTCCTTTACTTCCTGTCACCTCTGGATTATGTAGTTGAAGGGCTTTAAACCCTCCAAGTTGTTAGTGTTGGCACATGGTCCTTCCTGGTGACTCGTCAGTATCACCCTACTCCCTGTGGGGAAGCCTCCAACCATGCTTTGTGTCTGCAGAGCTCCATCCTGGAAGATGCTGAAGCCTTCTTGGAGCTGTCTCGGGGCCCTGCTCGTGGCCCTGCTGTTTCAGACCTCAGAGTCGGTTTATAATCCGTGCCCGGACGTCAGACAGTGTAAAGATAAAGCAACACCAGAGAGTTACACTGTAAGTGGGACCGGGGGGATGACATCTTGGTTTGAGGAAAAGGGGCAGCATGTGTTATTGGGAAGGAGGGAGGTAAGTGAAGGGACTCAGAGAGGGGGGAGCTCAGTTACAGTCAAGTGGGAGTTTCTACCTAGCCTGGGATCAAAGTGAAAATACAGATGACTGAGGGAAGTTGCTATGGGAATGGGGGGTGGGGTTTGAAGTTAGGGAGCCTATTTTCTGTCCTGCCCACCTTCTCCTCGATCTCCTGTGCTTCCTATAGGATATCTCCCACTTTGAACTACTTGGAAACAGTGACTTTCTAAGCTGTCATAATGGGTATCTTAAGATAATTAGAGTCAATTGCTGGTGGGGGGAAGAGATTCCCATCTCCCCATTTCTCAGTTAAATATAATTATTTCTTTTCAACTGGCCTCATGTCACCTTTCCTCCCTCCCCCCTGCCTTCTCCCCAAGCAACTTCTCTAGAGGAAGGAAAAACCAAGATGTCATTTCCTTTCCTTTGAAAAGAGACCAGGCAGTAATAATAGCAAACCTAATTGCTAGCTTTTATATAAAGCACTTTACATGTTATCTCATTTGACCCTCACAACAACCCTGTACTGTTATCCCCATTTTACAGATTAGGAAGCTGAGGCCAAGTGAGTTGAAAGGATTTTCCCAGGGTCAACTGAATCAGAGGCAGGATTCAAACTCAGGGTGGACTCCATGTCTAACACCCTGGATTTGGAGTCAAAGGACCTGCGTTCAAATCTTGGCTTCATCACTTAGTATCTCTGTGACCTTGGACAAGTTATTTAACCTTTCCAGACCTCAGTTTCCTCCTCTGTAAATGAGGGCTTAACTAGATCCCTCTAAGCTCTCTTCTATCTGTACATTTATTTAGTCTTGTGATCTTATGACTTATGGTGATAACAGCTCACATTTCTGAAGTGGTTTACAAAGAGATTAAGGGACTTGTCCACAGTTACACAGCTAACATCAGAGTCCTGAATTAATCTCATGTTCTCTTGACTCCAAGTCCAGCGCTCTTACCATTATGCTATAGCTGTCCTCCAAACACATCCTCCACTTTGGGGGAGTCTACTTAAGCACGAAAGACTCTGGACTACAGTCCAGGAGACCTGGGTTCTAGTCTTCACCATCACTACTTAACCATGTGACCTTAAACATGACATTTAATGTTTCAGGTACTCAGTTTTCTCATCTGCTGAATGAGGAGACTGGACTAATCTCTAAGACCATTGCCAATTCTAAAATTTTAGGACTCTAAATTATTAGCCTGGGACATTCCCTGCAGCTGAGTTGGATTGGGCTCTTCCTTTACCCCTCTGTGGTGAGTACCCAGAGTCTCTCTGATTCATGGCTCTGGCTGTTCCTCCATGAAATGGTTGACTTGAGGGTACAGCATCACATCTCTCAGTCAGTGAGTGGGTCTGGAAAGTGGTCCCTATTCTCTGTGTCCCATATGGAACCCTGGTTTTAGTCTCTTCATCCCAAACGAGGGTGGGATTACCAGGAAGCCTATTTCTTACCCAATAGTTCACTGACTTGGACAAACTGGGTCTCATATTTGGTGAAGGCTGTAAAGGCTTAATGTGGGCACAGGGTGAGGTGGTGTGGTTATGGGGCTGGTTGACATGGGAACAGGATAAGGAAAAAAAGGTCAAGTCCAAATATAAGATCAGGGCTGAGGCATGAACCAGAGAGTCTAGAATTAAGAATTTTTCTTTTCTTTTTGAATCTGGAGGAATATTCACCACAATACCAACCTATCTCACCAATTCAGGCTTGAAGTTCAATTCCAGTCAATTCAAGACAGACTATTTCTTTGTCTTTTCTTTCTTTCTTCCTTTTTTTTTTTTGCTTTGCATCTCTAGAGTCTACCTAGCATATTGTTGGCACTTAATAAACACATTTTGATCTTTTCATATTCAGAACTTTGAAATCAGTTGAATTGTTAAGCACCTACTGTGGGCAGATGCGGTGGTAGGATATTCTCCCTTCCTACCCACCCTTTGCCCTCACTCCCATCTCTTCTCTACCTCAGGCATGCCTCAAATCCTGTGATCTGGACCATGCACTCTATGGATCAAATGAGCTGAAACGTAGCACAAAGCAAAGAGATATCCATGATGATACCATCAGTAGTGATGAAGGGAATGTGGACCAAAAGATACGGGAGCTAATGCAGGGGGACCTCCTGGACCTGGTCTCTCCAGGAGTTTGGGAAGAGGACAAAGAGGTGCAAGGAGAGGATCAGCCACTGATCCGAAAAGCCAGGCGATTGGATGCCAAAAGGTCCTACTCCATGCAGCACTTCCGCTGGGGGAAGCCAGTGGGTAAAAAGCGGCGCCCTGTGAAGGTCTTTCCCAATGGGGTAGAAGAAGAATCTGCAGAGTCTTACCCTGTAGACTTCAGAAGGGACCTCTCCATGAAGATTGACTTAGCTGATGCTCCTGAGCTAGATGATAATGACACGGGGCATACCCCAGGACCAAGTGGAGAAGGGGGCTATAGGATGGAGCATTTCCGGTGGGGTACCCCGCCCAAGATTAAGAAGAAGAATAAGAATAAGAGTAAGGATAAGGATAAGAATAAGCGATATGGCGGCTTCATGGCTTCTGAGAAGAGTCATACCCCTCTTATGACACTGTTCAGAAACGCCATTGTTAAGAATGCCCACGAGAAGGGGCAGTAATGGAGGAGCTGGGGGAGGGACAACCCTAGGTTTTCTATGAGTCCCTTCTGCTTCCTCTCCTTTCCTCCTACATTCCTATCTCCCATTTCCCAGGCTTGGGGTGCTACATAGTCAAACCCTCAGCAGCCATGCCTTCACCTGCTAAAGCTGTCTGTCTTTAGGAAATAAAGCTCATTTGATTTCACATTTGATTTCTGACTTAGAATGTGTATAAAGAAGAAAATATATAAATACTCATAAAAGCAAATATATTGCACCATTTTTTACAGATAAGAAAGGAAGAACAGTAGGAGGGAAAGGCTAGTTTCCAGACTGACAGGTGACAATATTTTCATATGTAATGAAACACAAGGTGATGCAAATGAATGGGGGAGAAAAAATTTTTGTGAGCTAAGTAGATTTGTAGAATATCAATTGGTATAACAGTTAGCATGCCAGAGAGGAACTGGAATCCTAGCATCCTGAACCACTAACTAGCACTTCTGGCAACCACGATAAACAAGTTCCTCTTATATAAAACATTTTAAGACACATTCAGTTGGGCAGATGGTGGAGGAGAGACTTCAGATCTCAAAATATTAAGAGACAACTTCCTGGAAAGGGAGTAGGGCAGGGCCAGCCCAGGTAGGGGAGAGATCACCTGACAAATGCTCTACGTGCCCTCCAATTATCAATGACCTGGGGAAAAGTCCTTATCACCTAACCTTAGTTACAACTCTGCCACCATCTTACATTAGCTTACTTTTCTTTTGAGGGATTCAAATGTCCTTTGCAAATACCATACTACACCCAATCTGAGAGAGGCAATCTTAGTACTGAGAAAAGAAAATTAAAGGCCAGAGAAGGGAATGAATGAATGGTTTATTAGGTACTTGCTATACGACAATCATTAAGCTAAGGTTGGGGCCACAAATACAAAAAAGAGACAGTCTGCTCTTAACGTCTTTACACTCTGAGAGAAGGAGATAACACATAGAAAGTAGTGGCGGAGAGGAAAGGATGTTTAGTTCTGGTAAATCACAGGGAGGATGAATGATTAGACGGAATGGAAAATTATAGGGATGAGAAGAGACAAAGCATTTCAAGTCAGAGCTAGAAAGAGACCACAGGGTATGGACATCCGGGTAGGTCCTGACATCCGGGTAGGTCCTGCAATCAGTCAATCACTCACCAATCAAGTGGGGGAGAAGCAATAAGACCTTCTCCCAATCTTCAAGGAGCTTACATTCTCCACGAGAAGATAGGGCTGATCCTTGAAACAATAAGCAATCAATTTAAGCCAGAATATAAATAAATTCTAACTCCTATATCTCTCCAGTGGATCTTGTTGACTCTTGGCCTCAGTGCCCCTTATCTCTGAATTGGAGTGCTTCCAAAATTATCAGTCACAATACAATGAAGGGTGAAGCAAGGATGTCCATTATCACCTCTATTATTCAATATTGTGCTAGAAATGTTAGCTACCTCAATAAGAGAAGAAAAAGAAATGGAAGGAATTAAAATAGGCAATGAGGAAACAAAACTATCCCTCTTTGAAGATATGAGAATCAGCTAAAAAACTAGAAATTATTAACAACATTAGTAAAGTTGCAAAATACAAAATAAACCCACATAAATCACCAGCATTTCTACATATTACCAACAAAGCCCAGCAGCAAGAGACAGAAAGAGAAATTCCATTTAAAATAATTGTAGACAGTATAAAATACTTGGGAGTCTACCTGCCAAGACAAACCCAGGAACTATATGAACACAACTACAAAACACTTTCCACACAAATAAAGTTAGATCTAAATAACTGGAAAAAATATCAATTGCTCATGAGTAGACCAGGCTAATATAATAACAGTGACAGTTCTACCTAAATAAATAAAACTATCAAAAATTATTTTACAGAGCTAGAAAAAGTAATAACAAAATTCATCCAGAAGAACAAAAGGTCAAGGATATCAAGGGAATCAATGAAAAAAAAATGTGAAGGAAGGCGATCTAGCCATACCAGATCTCAAACTGTTATAAAGCAGTAATGATCAAACCAATCTAGTACTGGCTAAGAAATAGAGTGGTGGATCAGTGGAATAGTTAAGTACAAATTACGTTCTAGTAAATGACACAATAATCTGTCACATGATAAATCCAAAGATCTAAGCTTTTGGAGCAAAAACTTATTATTTCATGGAAACTGCTGGGAAAGCTGGAAAACAGTATAACAGAACAACACCTCACACTGTATACCAAGATAAGGTCAAATGGGTACATGACTTACACATAAAGGGTGATACCATGAGCAAATTAGGAGAGCATGGAATAGTTTATCTGCCAGATCTATCGATAAGGGAAGAATTTATGACCAAACAAGAGATAGAGAGCATTACAAAACATAAAATAGATAATTTTGATTATATAAAATTTAAAAAAATTTGCACGAACAAAACCAATGCAATAATGTAGATAATTAATCAACAACCATTTATTAAGCACTTTTATTAAGCAGTTATTAAACATGCTGGGCACTGTCTAACAGAAGGGTTGTAGAAGAAGAAACCACTGCAACCTATAAGCAGCTTGGCCTGGAATCAGGAGAGATCTGGGTTCAGATCCTGCCTCTGACAGTTAGTTATTGTCTAGATGACCATGGGAAAGTTATTTAATCTCCTTGGTCCCAATTCCTTATCTGTGAGATGCAGGTAGTGATACCTAAGATGCCCATATTCTTAAATGAGGGGCTAGTATGAAGCTCAAATAGGATAATGGATATAACCAGGGGTGTGCTGGGAAATATTTAATGACTGATTCCCTCTGGGGAAAACTGTTTGCAAGATACACCTTTAAGTTTAATCTCTGATATTAAAATTTTCCCCATCACTTTTTTAAAGTTTAGAATGATAATCAATGAAACAACAAATTAAACCTTGATTTGCAATATTTGCCAGTTTCCAAGGTGTATATGCCCACACTGAACATTTTAACAATGGGGATTCAAGCTGGCTCTAGGAGACCCTTGGATATAAAGTGCTTTGCAAATTTTCAATGTTAACTATAATCATCCTCCTGATATTATCCTGCCCCAGAACCTCAAATGCCAAGTTCCTAATACTAAGAGACTTGTGTATGTAAAATGGTACGTAGGCTCATAGTTTGCAAGCTGAAAAGGGGCCTCAGATGCCATATGTAGTCCAACCCTCTTATTTTACAAATGAGGAAAGTGAGGCCCTTTGGGGTAAAGCGACTTGCCCCAATTCTCTCTGGTATATTTGGCACAGCCAGAGTTCAATGCCTTTTCCACACTGCCAGGCTGCCCTTTGGGATACTATGCCTAGATAGTCTCTAAGATCCCCTTCCAGTCCAAACCTTTGACACAGGCTCTCATCAATCCACAACTCTTCTTGCCATCTCCCATCACCAAGGCCTTTAAAGGGCTCAAGGCGGCTCTGCCTCCTCCCACCCCAGTTCAATCATATTGGTTGCCCTCTTGCCTGGTGGTAATTTCTTTTTTTCTTTTCATTTCTTTTTTTTCAGTGGATAAAAATGTTGAATAAATTTCGCCAGTTTCATACAAGAAGCGTAAGATAGGAAAAGGTGGTAGTTTATCATGTACTGAGGATGAAGAAAACAGTATAGACAGCCCCTGGGCTGTCCTGGTACTGATTAAACTCTAAGCCTTTTAAAAAGGCTTAGAAAAATAATAACACACTCTTACAATACTTAAAAGTTTGCAAATCCATATATAGATATAGTCTCACTTGATCCTCACAAGGATAACCTGTGAGGAAGGTGCCACTGTTATACCCATTTTCAGATGAGTAAACTGAGGCTTAGAGAGGCGGTATTGCATAATGAATAGAGGGTTTGACTTTGGAGTCAGGAAGACCTGGATTCAAATGCTATCTCAGACACTTACTAGCTGTAGGATCCTTTGAGCCTCTTCATGCCTCAGTTTCCTTATCTGTAAAATGAGTTGGGACTTAATGGTCTCAGAGGTCCCTTCCAGCTCTAAATCTATGATCCCATGACTTGTTCAAGGTCATATAGCTTGTAACCACCATAAGCAGGCCTTCCTGACTCCAACTCTGGCTTGATATCCGACTATATGACACTGCCTAGGGCTCCTAGCACATTTGTGTGTATGTTTGGAGAGAAAGTGAAGGGAGGGGGTAGATCTCTTGTAGAGAATTATGGGACAACATGGATAAGAGTTTTACAGGATGAGAAGGCATGAATGAACTGTGATACGCATCATTAGAGGGAAAGACCAAGAGGTCACAGACACAAATGGTGGAGATGGTCAGGTCAGGAATAGAGAGGCAGGAAAAGAGCCCTTACAAAGAGGATGATTTTTTCCCCAATCTCCAAAAACCATCTCCCTGTTGAAGCCTATAAAGGGAATGGGAGAAGTCAGCTCTGAGTACAGGTTTTCTGCTAGATAGAAGCATTGTTCCATCAGTGACTATAGGAGCCTCTGAGACCCTGACTTCCTCCACAACCTTACAGACTCCAACAGTTGTATAAAAAGTCTCCAACTTCACACTATGATGCATGCCAGGTTCTGAAGTCAAGATTTCACTCAACTATCCCAAACCACAGGTAGCCAGAGGCTCAACAGATTTTTTCTCTTGACAACATTCATACATTCAGATGCTTTATACACTTAGACACATACATTCATATACACGTGCCCAATAAAAGGCAGCATGGGGCAGGCAGTGGGAGGAGTGCTGGATTTTTAGAATTCAAATCTCACAGCTACTGATTAGCTGTGTAAGCCTGGACAAGACAATTCCCCCTCTCTGGACTTCAGTATCCTCATCTGTTCAATAAGGGCATTGTACTAGAACTCTAAAGACCCATATGGTGCTAAATCTTTGATCCCAGGATCTATAAACACACATACACACACACCTAACTGACCAAATGGTGTAATGGAAAAAGTCCTGGATCTGGAGTCAGAGGATGTAGGTTTGACTCTGGGCTCTGCCTCTTACTAGGTGTGTGACTCTGGGCAAGCCATTTTGCCTCTGAGCTTTAGTTTTTTCATCTGCAAGATGAAAGGATTGGACGAGATAATCACCCTCTAGCTCCTTCTGGTTCTAAATCTACGATACTATGACCTACATAGAAATAAAATCACAAATAGAAAGAAATTGGTAGAATGGCCAGTCAACACAGGACTGGGTTATCTGGACACTAATGGCTGGATTTAAGCTTGGAGGATCTGAGTTCAAAGTCTAACTCTACCCCTTCTTTCCTGTGTTGCTTTGGGCAAGTCATTACCTTTCTGGATCTCAGTTTCCTCAAGTGTAAAAAAAAAAAAAGGAATTAAACTACCGTAGCCTCTAAGGTTACTTCCAGCTCTCAATCTATAATCCTACTATATACTCTTCTAGTTCTTCCTTCGGACTCTAAATCTTGGGATCCTTTGCCACATCATATTGTACAATCATTGATAAAGAGTTAGAAATGGCCTTAGAGGCCATCAAGTTGAACTATTTAAAAATAATTTTTTATTCTGAACTTCACACAAAAAGAGCACTTCCATATATATAAGATTATATATGAAACCATGAATCTCTATTTCATATAGCTTGCTTTTTTTAGAAGTACATAATAAATTCAACACATTCCTTTCAAAGTTGTCCTACTTGTCTACTTCCTTCTAAACTTCTTTCTCTTCCATGCATTTAAAAAATGCTTCAATGTACAAAAATACTCATAGCAGCTCTTTTTGTGGTGGCAAAGAATTGGAAATTGAGAGGATGCCCATCAATTGGGGAATGGCTGAGCAAGTTGTGATATATGAATGTAATGGAATACTATTGTGCTATAAGAAATGATGAACAGGCTGACTTCAGAAAAACCTGGAAAAACTTATATGGTCTGATGCTGAGTGAAGTGAACAAACCAAGAGGACTTTGTACACAATAACAGCCACATTGTGCATTGACTAATATTGATAAACTTAACCCTTCTCAGCATTACAAGGATCTAAGACATCTCCAGAGGCCTCGTGATGGAACATGCTCTCAACATCCAAAGAAAGAACTATGGAAGTTGAATCCTATCATTTTTTTTCTCTTCTGTTCAGTTTTGGTTCCTCTTTCTGATGGTTCCTCCTATTGTTTTTAATTTTTACTTACAACATCACTAATGTGAAAATATGTTTAATAGGAATGTAAATGTATAGCCTATATGCCGTCTTGGGGAGGGTGGTGGGGAGGAAGGGGTAGAAAAATTTTAAACTCAAAAACATATGGAAGTTATTGTTGATAAATCAAAATAAATTAATAAAATTTAAAAATTTAAAAAATGTTTCAATGTCCCTTTTTTTTGACATCAGTATTGCAACCCCCTCATCTTTACAGATGAGGAAACTGAGGCCCATAGAGGTTAAGTGACTTGCCCAAGGTCACGTGAGTAGTAAATATCAGAGGTGGAATTTGAATCCAAATCTTCTGACTCCAGAATTAATGCTATTTCCTTTATTCCTTTAGCTAGTCAACAAACCCCCTTGTTTCTTGCATCTTCTCACTTCCCAGTGCCACAACTTCATTCCTACAGTATCTTAACTCATCTCCCCCACCTCCCATTTTGCTTTTCTTTAAACTCATCCTGGACAACCCTGTTAGAGCCTTCTCCCTAATGCTCCTCTTTCCTTAAGTGGAAAAAGCATTGGTTTTGGAGACACATGGCCTTAGTTCTGCCATTAGGCATGAATATGATGTTCTGGGTTGGGTCTGACTCAGGCTAACCCTCTGGTAGCTTGTTTGATACTAAGGGAAAAACTAGACAACTCATAGGTTATTCAACTGTTAATAGATGGATATCAGGGTAGAACATTCAACAAAGATATGATCCATCAGGGATATCATGAGTTGATTCCTTAAGTGAAGCCATCTTCTCTGAGTTGCCCATGATTGTCCATCAGCCAAAGATCCAGATACCTGGAATTATTCTTGGATGTTTTGTACTCAGGTTGCCAGGAAGAGATGTCAATAGCTTGGGCCTTCCGTCCCCTGAGCCAATTAAATATGGAGGACATTTTCAATACCTTTTATGGAAAAACTAACCTTACTTGCATGGTGTAGGGGAAGATGTCAGGATATTACTCCCATTACATATAACCTTAGGCAAGAGTCACTTCATGTCTTGGCTTGTTTCCTCACCTATGAGATAAAGAGGTTGGATTAGATAGCCTCCTCCCATGCTAGAATTCTATTATTTTACTGTCACTCCCCAACTCCAAAGCAAAAATGGTTACTTACTAAACAGATCAAGGCCCTGAGAGCTCCACACTCTACCTATCCAATCTCATCTCGCACACTACTCCTGCAAACAAGACCCTCCTTTCAGTAAATAAAGACTCCTCATTACACTGACATCCACACGTTGGCATTTGGACCCTCTCTCATGAAGAACCCACCACCTCTTGTACACAGATATTTTTCAAAGTCTAGTTTAAGCCTCACCTTTTCGGTATAACTTCTCCTGTTGACTTTGGTCCATAAAGATTGTTGGTGGTACAGTAGAGATCACACTGAATTTGGAGCCAGAAGACCTGGGTTCAAGTCTTTTCTCTGTCATTTACTACCTAAAGGACCTAAGGCACACTTTATTTGGCTTGGCCTCCATTTCCTCATCTGCAAAAATGCAGGAATTGGGCTAGATGGCCTCTGAGATCTCTTCTAGTTCTAAATCTGTGGTCTACTACTTCATCTGTTATGACCTATTTCTTTATCTGTAAAATAAATCCCCTGGACTGATTGGCTGCAGTTTGTAAGGTTCCTTATGGCTCTAAATCTATAATCCTAGGATCCTTCTCTGAAGTGCAATGATGACCCTTAGTGTGTTACACAATTTGGCCCTCAATAATACAGCATTTGGTATATATAGATATGTATGAACAGGCTTGCTCACCTAGCTAGACTACAAGCTCCTTGAGGTCAAGGACCAAGTCCTATGTCTTTATCTCCATAGTGTATAAGCAGTACAGAGAACTGAGATTTAGCTGGTCCAGGGCATCAATGCATCAAAGATCTGTGATTCTGTTAGGGTGGGTATTTCCTCGATAGTGCAGATCTCAACTGGTGGACACCTTGGTCAAAAAAAAGATTTATCGGCTTTCAGTCAATCTGACAATGATCGTGCCTGGAGTTAGATTAGATGGCGTTTGGATAATAGTCTCACCATTGGCCATTATCTGACTTCTTTCCATCCTGGTAGATAAACTGCCTGAGTTTACACTCCATTGCATAGTTTTCAAGAGCCCCAGGACACCTCCCAAGGAATGGCGAATAAAGAAGTATTTCTATATATATTCATTAGTATGTGCCAACATGCACAAGAATACACAGATATATCCATAGAAGACACCCTTGCAGAAGATACACACACATAGACACTGATACCTTATACAAACACATCTTCAGCTGTAGTATGAGATACTACAATTAATCCTCAGAGGAAGATTGAAATGCCTTTGGAGATACCTTCCATTTGCACATAGGCATTCGACAATTTGATGCTAAATTTCAGTTATGTGTCAGTCACTGTGCCAGGCAGGTTGGGCTACAAAGAGAAGAGGGAAGTCATCCCTGCCTGCTCTCAAGGAGCTTCCATTCTACTGCTGACTTTCATGGGTGTTCTTAACCCTTCAAACAAAACGAGGAAGCTGCACTGTGACAGCTAGACATGGGGGAGTTGGAAAGTAGTCTAGTTCCTTAAGAACAAGATTAAACTCCTTCCCTGTCTAGGAGGGGGCAGCCTGGTAGTGCCCAGACCTGAAGTCAAGAAGACCTGAGTTTAGATCCAGTCTCAGACACTTAATGTGTGACTCTGGATAAGTCACAACCTCTGCCTGCCTCAGTTTTTTAAACTGAAATGCGGAGAATAATATTATATACCTCCCAGGGTTGTTGTGGGAATCAATGAAATCATGTTTGTAAAGCATTTAGTAGAACGTCTGATACATAGCAGGCACTTAATAAATGTAGGATGGGTTGAATGTAATCCTGCAAACAAAGAGCCTTGAGGCTAAATGGCCTTCGGGGTCCCAGCTTCCATTCTTTTACTCTCAGAATCCAGCTCTGGGCCCCAGATTTCCATCCTGACAGCCTCCCTTTCCACCTACCTCCTGGTGCCAAGGCAAAGAGAAGGGAATCTTCTGGGGGTGTCAAAATGTCAACAGGAAAACCATTGGTATTTTCAGACTGAAGTTTGCATCTCAAACAACCATTTACTTTTAAGAAACCAAGCAGGCAGTGATGTGGAGACAACATTAACATTTATTTGAAAAGGGCATCATAAAGACATATTGGAAAATATTGACAAACATTCCCTAAAGAATTACCTTTTTAAGTATCATCCTTCCACAGCCACCTACTCATCCTTTCCCAAATCCACTACCTTTTCCTCTGCCCACAAATGAAGCCAATGAGCTCCAATGAATTTTAAATACAGAAGCTATCACAGGAACCAATTCTACACTCGCATATAAATAAATCTATCAGCTATTATATACACATGTTAGAAACTATGTGGCACTTGTGCACTCCCACCCCCCCCCACCCACCCCGGGCCACAAAGGTCTAGATATCACACACACACACACACACACACACACACACACACACACACATTGCAATCTGAGGACAAAAGCACTTACAGGTTTTCCAGCTGGGAGCGCCTCTTGTCCCCTCCAACTAATTAAGTGCTTTTCAGAAATCAAGAGGAGATGGAGGGAGAACATTTCCCCCATTCCCAGATCTCCCAGAAAAAGAAATGAACTCAGTCAGCTTCTTTGGTCCTCAGGTAGAGTGAAAATTCAAGGTCCAACTGCAATTCAGCAACCTACTTCTCTTCTACACTCCATTCTAACAATCAGTCTATAGGTATTTAAGGGCCTACCATGTGCCAAACAAGAGGGACAGTGTGGTGTAGTGGCTAGAGAGCTCACCTCTAAGCCAGAAAGACCTGGTTCAATATAACCATGCAACACTGGGTCAGTAACAGCCTCTTTGTTCTCTGGACAGCTCACCAAGACCAAAATCTGCACAGGTAGGAGGTCCTGCCACTGGCAGAAATCACAAGTGCCAAAAACTGCTGCGTACCAGGGGTATAAAGGTAAACAGAAATGATCCCTGCTTTCCAAGAGCTTACCTTCTAGTTAAGTACTCAGTCTTCTCTCCTTGCAGCGTATTTGGGCTTGGATTAGACTTGAAGCAAATGGTTCATTGTTACTTTGAGGGTTGCTAGGAAGGGAAGACGAGTGACCCTAAATTGCTTGTACTTCCCAGGGCAACTCAGACATCTTGTTTTAGCTCAATTTGTCTGTGCTACCCTGGAGGGGCCCAGTAAGAGCATGGATTCTGAGCTGGGCTCATCCTTCCCAGTTACATGGGAGTCCGGACATAATTCAGTGTTGTAGAGGGGATTTATCCATGGGACAATGGGATTGGGATTAGACAGGACCACAACCTAGAGACCTCAGAGATGCTCAGGCTTCCTGATCCTTGAGCTGTTTCAGTCCTTTGGAAGTTCCAAGTCTTAAGCCCTACCATACATCTGGGCTCTAGGCAACTAAGAATATAAATTATAGTCTTTGTTGAATCATATCACAGTTGTGTCTGACTCTTCGTGACCCCGTTTGGGGTTTTCTTGGCAAAGACACTGGGATGGTTTGCTATTTCCTTCTCCAGCTCATTTTACAGATAAGGAAACTGAGGCAAACAGGGTTAAGTGATTTGCCTAGGGTCACATAGCTAGTAAATACCTAAGGATAGATTTGAACTCAAGATGATGAGTCTTTCTGACATCAGGCCTGCTGCTCTATCTACTGTACCACCTAGCTGTTTACAAATTGTGGATAAGGTGCCAAATCACATTGGCATAGGGAGTTTCCCCATACCAACGAAATCAGAGGTTTAGCCCCCATCCTTATTAAACGTTCCCTCCAAATGTTAACTGGTTGGGGGCAGCTAGCATAGTTTTTACCTTCTTCTTGCAGCCTGGCTTCATTTGATCCTATCTTGGCACTACTAATCTCCCAACCTCACTTTCTATTACGAGGGAATAATTTTAAATGGAATTACTGGATTTGTGCTCTCAAATGGGAAGAGAAAGGAAGGAGTATAACCATAGGACCCCAAGGTCCCTATTTGGAGGAAAACTCAACTTAGTGAAGAGAAATTGGGGATTTAAGATCTATTCATGTCTGATTAAACCTTCTCAGGAAAGCTGTAGTTGCACCCATTCTTCCGTCAATGCAGAAGCTCATCTTCTGTCCATTATGCGTATAATGGGGTCTCCAGCTGAGCCTAGTCAGGTAGAATATAAGCTGCTCGAGGGCAAAGACTGTTTTTTTGTTTTGTCTTGATATATCGAGCACATAGCACTGGGCCTCATATGTAGCAGGTGCTTAATCAATGTTTGCCAGATAGATTGAAGGATAGTTTCTGACTGCCTCTACCCAGGAGAGGAAAAAGGCCTCATCACAAGGAACAGCACAGATAGGAAAAGGAGATTGGCCAGGAAGGGGAAGTTATATCCCCCTCATTCCCTGAGGCCAGTGGTAGGACAAGATTATGATGGCATGAAACTATTTGAAGTACTGATCACTTCTCCAGTGCTTTGTTCTAAGGCACACTGACTTTGAGGCAGGACTTTCACATATTCTCATGATTAAGAGCTGGAAGAAACCTCAAAGACCACCTGTTTCCTCACTTATAACATGAGGACATTGGATTAGCTCATCTTTAAGGTCCCTTTTGGCTCTTCACCATAGGATCCTGTGATCTAGTCCAGTACCTTCATTTTACAGATGGGGAAACTGAGGCCCAGAGAGATGTGTTTTGTCCCCTGTCACATAAGTGACTTAGCAGAGGCAGGATCCATATCTAGCCCCTTTGAGTCAAGTTCAATGTTCTATTACAGCTTGTTGCTAATTTCTGTTAGGAAAATTTGGTCTACCTTGCTGATTATATTAGGCAATAGACACTGTTTAACTTAGATACCAGAAGAGTCAGAAGTAGCTTCTTCACAAGGAGAAAATAAAAGCACAGAAAAGCTTCCCTTGATTGGGGGGGGGCATAGAACTGATGCTCTAAGCCAGAGGCATCAGACACAAGGCCCCATGCTGCTGGCCACAATCAGATTAAAGTGTAATTGGGAAATATTTAATAAAATAAATACGACAGCAGAACAAAGATGATGTTAATGTGTGGTTTTCTAAGTCAATACACAGTGCTCCACAGGGATCCTCATGTATGGGTTAGTGGCCCAGTGTCTGAGCTTGACACCACTGATCTAAATCATATAGCTAGAGATATAGATTATTTTTTCTTCCCAATAAAATAAGAAACAGTGATAACCAAAGCCAACAGTCATGTTCTAGGGGAATTAACCTCATTTGTAGGCTCTTTAGAAAGGTGTCATAGAAATATTATTATATAAGTCTCAGCCTCAATATCCTTATCTGTAAAATAGAAGGGGGGATTGGAGGGGAAGGTTGACTTAGATGGCCCACAAGCTCCCTTCTGGCTCCGGATCTTATGATCCTCACCCCTCAGCGCCACAGACATGAGAAACATCGCTAGAGGTAGTGGGGAAGACAACTAAAATCAAGTAAGAAAGAAACTGAGGGTCTTCCTTTAAAGCTAAGTTGAGGGTTAAGAGACAAAGTGCTCAGAATAATCATAAAGAGCTACGTAGTGCGGGAAGACTAGTTTGGCCCTCACAGGGCCACATAGATTTCCTATCTTGTCTTCAAAGTTTCCTTTAAGAAACTGTGTGCTTTGATGTTCACCAGAAGTGTAAGTTGCTATTTTAATAAGAAAAGTTTTATTATATAAAAATGAAGAGGAATTTCATGCTTATAAGTCGGGATGTCCTCTATCTTGGATTTCAGGAAACGCATGCAACCTAAAATTGCACTAAGTGAGGCAGAGAGTGCAGAACCAGGAGGGAATAATTCTGCCCTCCTCAGAGGACACTTCTCTGGCTGGAGTGCTTTATTTAGTTCTGATTAACATCTTGGGAAGCACGTTAATAAGCTAAAGGAAGGCGGCCAACCTAGTGACCGGCCTTGAGATCATACCTCAGAAGGACCAAATGAAAGACTCAAGGAGATTGGGCATAGGGAAGCAGGCAGCTCGGTGGCAGTGGGGATATGATCATTTTCTTTAAGTGTTTGAAGGTCTCTTACACGAAAGGAGGATCAGACACGTTTTGCTTGACCACAGAGGACAGAACGAGGAACAGTGAATTGGAGATAAATGTAGGTTTTATGGAGTGAAAACATCCTCAGAGTTGGAGGTGTCCAAAAGTGGAATGGGTTGCCTTAAGTGCTAGTGGGTTCCCTTTACTCAAAGTCTTGAAGTAAAGGCTAATGACTACTTATCAGGTATGTTATATGGGAGATCCTTTTTCTGATAAGGATACACAAGACGGTCTCTGACAGCCCTTCTAACTCTGGAAGTGTGATTTACACCACCTGGCATACCCATAGTGCAATAACAGAGGCTGAGCTGAAGGTGGGCTTGCATAAAACTTTAGAATGGCCAAGGAGTGCTGCCTTTCATTGTACAACTCAAATATGCATTTTTAAAAAAGGGGTCTTCTTTTTGAAATGTACTTTATCTTTTCAAGTATTTTATATTCAGACTAATATGTCAAAGACTTAAACTATAAAAGCAAAGGCCTGCGGTGACAACATTATGATAGTTGGGCTCAAATTTCATTTTTCTTCCCCAAGAAACTCCACTTAGGATGGGAGAAAATATCTCTGGGTCAAATTCCTGTTTTTGTTCCCATTTCTCTCTCATATTCTGTCATATTCTCTCTCTCTCTCTCTCTCTCTCTCTCTCTCTCTCTCTCTCTCTCTCTCTCTCTCCTACATGGGGGCAAACCACTAACTGACCTATAATTCATTCACATCCTCACATGAATTATCTCAGCTATACCAATAAATGAGAGTTTGGGGCAGTATAGAGGATTGGGGGAGGAAGGAAGGCTTATTTTAGAAGGGTTATTTAGAGGGAGATGTGCTTGTAGGAATCTGCCATCTGGGGCTCTAAATAAGCCATGGTCCATATAAGTGTGGTTAGCCTTTGGGAGGATCAGCAAGGATAGCATGGGACACAGAAAAGGCATTGAAGACAAACTTCCCTCCCCACTTTCCCATATTGCTTGGGGTCATGTGTGTATTGGTTCTGACTGGGCTTTTGCAACAACTTGCTGTCACCATCATTTATAAAAAGTTTACTAGTACATAACAAGGGGCAGGGTACATGGGGCACCTAAAAAAATCTAGAATTCGAAGAAGCTTCTGTTGCACTCTGGAGTCCAGAGGTACTACCTCATGTGGATAAAATATATGCGTAGACTTTATCCAAAAGACACACGTACACTTCCCCTCCCCCACTCCACCTCCCACCCATACACAGGTTTGCACACTGCACTCTCAAGTCATACAACTGGCCCACTCATTCCTTGGTAGATACATCCAATATTCTCAGTGTTGGCAGGTAAACTCCTTTTGTTGGAATGGTAGTCCCAAGGACTCTCTGCCCAGGGCAAATAACTTTCCCTATGAGGGAATGATTCAGGGCAGGGCATTGGGGCATCCTGTCATTCCCTGTGTTTTTGGAGAGTGTCTATCATTTTGAGCCACCTCTTGTCCTGCCCTCAAGCCTAGAACCTCCAGCAATAGGCCTATGCTTCACAAGAAGAGACACCATGGAGACACCATAACCCAGTATCTCAGGTAGGGTAGAGATGGTAAGAGAGCCAAGAGGGACCACTCTTGGTGGGGGAGCTAGGTAGAGATGGTTTTCCCATCTCTGCCCACAATGAAAGTGGGTCATTGGGGAGCATTGTCTGATATAACTTCCCATGATACAGGACTCCCAGGATGCAATGTATTTGCCTCCCTGGCAATGTCAAGGCTGAAGATGGCCTTGCTCCTTCTCCCCAATCCTATAATCTTGCCAGATTTTATTTCCCTTCATCAGATTAGACTTTGCCCTTAATTTCATTTTAGGTTCCCATAATGGCTCTAAACCCTGGCTCCAACGGTCCTGTGCCATTTGAGAGGAGACTGGACCAGGGCAACTCTTATGGATGAATAAGAGCTAGAAAAAATTGCTGGTATCAACTATGTGTTGAGCACTAGCATCCCCAGAAAGGATGTCCCATGCTTCCTTTCAGATCCTGGTCTTAGAGCTGCCATTGTCCCAACTCTACTTTCCTCCAAATTCCTAAGGCACCCCATTCCCTTCTGCCTAGCCCCTGGGCCCATTTGTGTGGTGACTTTTTACATCAGGCAGAAGGGATTCAGTCTGTTGCTCAGTGAGGATGAAACTCTCAGTATACCTCACCCCTTCTGAAGCAGCTCTGTTAGGTGGGGATTCAAACTTCCATTCTGTAGCTGGAAAATTCCTAGAGAGAGACTCCAACACTTTCCCTTTTCTCTAGGCAATGCTGCCCAAGAGGTCGGATGCCTCCCTTCCTTATTTCCATTTTCTGTTCAACCCGAGGTGTTAAATTGGGCTCAAAAGCCACTGAGATCCTTGGCAGGGCCCCAACAGCCTGTCCACGGATGGTTCAGAGGCTCCATCCCAAGAAAAAAAACTCCTCCAACTCATCAGCCAAAGGATTCCCAAGGCTCTCTGACCCTTATTTGGAGAGAACCTTCAAATCTCTCCTCATAAAGGACCCCAGATGACACAGAAGGCAAGGCAGAGTGGGCGGGGTGGACTCCCACTGGCACAAAGGGCCTCAAAGAGAGTGTGGTGAAGCTGGGATGCTAGAGCAGAAGGAAGAGAAGGGTTGAAGGAACTTGCTTTCTTAGGAAGGTGCCCACCTTTGGAAGTTATATTTCTCCCCTGAGATCTCATTAGGATTCCATGCTGTAGGGGATGGGGGTGGGGATCACCTTCCCCAAACCCAGCCTCCATAGGACCTCTGACTCTTGGCACTCAGTATACACACAGATCAGGGAACTTCATCTCATAGACGGGGATCGAATGGTTCTGTGGCTGGCCGTAGGCTGCTGTGATGGTACCAGATGGGCTTGGGGGAGGTCTAAAGACAGGAAGAAGAGATTGAAAGGAAAAGTCACGAAAGGTTGCAAACAGGGTAAGCTGGAATCATTTTTCTACTAGGGTAAATGTGGGAGAAGACTCAGATCCCCAATCACAGAGGCCAAATCCATGAAGGTCAAGCCTTCCTGATATATAAATTCAATTGAGGCCTTTAATCAGAGAAAGGATTTGGGATCTAGGGAAAAGCAAACTAACTCTGAAGTCAGAGGGTCAGGGTTTAAATTCTGCCTCTGATGCTTACCTGTGTGGCTGTAGGCAAGTAATGCCTACTACTTCTCTCCCTGGGCCTCAGTCTCCTCATCTACAAAATGAGTGGGTGGACTGGATGGCTCCTGCGGCCTCTTCTAACTCTAGCTCTATGATCCTATAATCTCTTGGGCAACCATGTTTTTATTCTGTGTTCCAGAACTTCTCATTTAAAGCCAAATTCACTACGAAGGCCATAGTCACAGAACCATTCTGGGTTCTTTTCCTGAAACCATCTCCTAATTCACTGACATGACATCTTTCCTTCCCCCAGTCAAACAGTATAGATTAAGGTCCCCAGTTCTAGATTATAAAAAGAGTTCTAGGCCTTCCAAAGAACAGAAGCAACAAGTAATGATCCCAGAAGGGAGGGCCCTGTGAAGATCAGAGGGCAAACTCCCTTGCCCAAGGCCACTTACCGGATGGTGATTTCAAAGATCTGGTTGAGTTTGCTCTGCAGCAGTGATGCCTGTAAACCAAAGAGATGGAAGGAAGGTGAGCTTGAGGGCCCTGACCATATCGCTTCACCACAGGCTCCTGTGGCCAGCTTAGGGCTGGAGGGCCAAGGGAGGGGACATAATGTTATTTTTAGCTTTGATCTTGGATCCTGGCTGTTCTGTGATGAATGAAAAACATTGGGAGACAGAGTTTCTGGGTAATTAATAATCAGTTTATCAATTAGGCTAGCTAGTAAATAAATTATTAGTGGTTTCTCTTGATAACCAAAGACAAAAGACATGGGGAGCCTGAAAGTTTTAAAGAATGCTTGAGAGAAGATTCCCTTGACAACTGAAAATCAATTCTGATTGGTGGACATTTAACAAGGAGGTGGATTCGAAGTCTTCAGCTTCCCCTGCTGAGGATGTGGCTTGATCATGAGACTCAGCCACCTCTAGCAGTCTGGACAGGGGAATCCTTCTCTATCCAGACCACTCGGATTGGCTTTCTCCTTCATGAGCTGGGTCACCTAAAATTCTAATGGAGGGGTACAAGGACAGGAGCTCATTTCCTCAGGGTAAAAACTTGCCTAGACTGGATTCTGTTTACACTCTAAACACCTAGTTGGGTGGGGTCCAGCCCAAGATCCAAGAGCATGTTCCCTGAGGGTTAGGGTCAATTTCGATAAGCCATATCCTTCAGAGGCTAGCCTTCCACAGGAGCTGGTCCTCAATGAAGAAACAGAGGAGAAAAAGCTTGAATCCTAATTTAGTAATTGGTTACCAATATAATAGAAAAAATGACTTCAGTCATAGCCTTTAAGAGGTAGCAATCTGCTCGGGCTTTGGTCTGCACGAGGACGTGGGGAAAGGCATACCAGAGAGGTCTTTGGTACCTACCTCTTTAAGAGCCAACTAGAGAGAAACAGCATGGTGTAGAGGATAGAGGGGCTGGCTTCAGAGTCAGGAAAACTGAGGCTTAAGTCCTGCCTCTGACACATACTGGCTGTGTGAGCCTGGGCAAGATTCAGGGCCCCCAGGCAACTCTCTACCACTATAAATTGTAGAGAAGTTGTTTATATGCAATGGTAGAGGGCATTTCCTCAATGGGAGATGCCTACTATACCAATGAAAATAGAGGGTCTGACCAAAAAAATTCTTTTAAAGGAGCCAATTAGGTCATTCAATGACAACAGCATGCAATCATTGACCAAGAGAAAGAAGAATGGAGTCAATACAACTTAACAAGCATTTGTTAAGTGCCTACTGCATCATGCTAGGTGCTGGGGATATATAAAGAAATAGTTCCTATCCTCCATGAGCTTATCTTCTTGGGAATGACTGATCTTGTTCAGTGACCTAGGGAAAAACCTCTTCCCACCTTTCGGCCTCATTTCTTCTCTGTTTCAGGAAAATAGTAATCCTCTGCCTCCCAGGATGAGGATGAAAAAGAAAAAGATAACATGTGGCTAAGAGAATACTGGTTGAAAGAAGGGAATAGAAATGCAAGATTTTTTATGTTTAAATGTCTACCATTGTTTTTGTTATTGATGGCCCTCAAATTTTGGCCACACCAGCTCATGAAGGCCATCTACAGTGACATGAAGTGTTTCAATCTGTTTTGGGGGAAAGGGTACCCATAGCCAGTGAAATCAGGAATGCATGAAGTAATGACATGTAGATTGTTATTGTTAAAAAAAAAAAAACTACCTTCTCTCATTGCCCTCTGAAACTCCTTCCCACTGATTCCTGTTTATTCCCCAAGCCACTTTTTTTTCCCCTTCAAATCTTTCCCCTACAATCTCCATTTCTAAGAAAACCAGCCTCGATTCCTAGATATTCCTGACACGGTGAGCCCTGCCAATCATCATAGAACTTGGCATGCCAGTCATTTGTCTCCCGGAAATGCCCACATTATTTCACCATGGCCGCCTTCTTGAGAGAGGGAACTACTACTGGTCAAGGGTCTCTCTACCTTATAATTCCATATCCAAATTAATTGCCCCAAAAGACCAAACAATGATGGGGCTCTCTTGGTACTTTGGGGGATGATACTCAACTTAAATACTTCAAGAGAACTGTGATTCCATTACTGAGAGCATTCCTTTTAACAATGGAGTTCTCAATCCATCCATGCCTGCCTAAGGTCATACATGTGCAACCCTTGGCAAGGGAGTAGTGTGTTTTGTTCCTACATGTCTGATGACATTCTTTACTCCACCAATACCAGATGATGAGTTATGAATACTAGAAAAAATACTAGTGTTGACCCATCCCTGATGGGTTAGCCTTTGTTTCTATGGGGAATAGGGTTGGGGGAGAGGGCACAGGAGAAGCCCAGCCAGCTTCTGTTTGGTGTCATAGCTCAGTGCTGATCCTTGCTAGCCCTAAAGGCCAGACGCCAATCTCCCCTTGGCTTCCACACTCACCCGGGCCCCACAATGGGCAGCAATCTCCTCAAAAGGTGCCTTCTGGAACTTCTCAACCACCTGCCGTCGCCGCTCACGCTCTTGTTCCTCCACTGCCACGCTATCCACTGAAGTACAGAAAGCTTAAGTTAGTACCTTGGTAATGGGCAGCTAAGTGGCACCATAGTGCATAGAGCACTGGCCCTGAAGTCAGGAAGACTCATATTCTTGAGTTTAAATCTGGCCTCAGACACTTGGGTGACCCTGGGTAAATCACTTAATCCTGTTTGCCTCAGTTTCCTCCTGTGTCAAATGAGATGGAGAAGGAAATGGCAAATCACTCTAGTATCTTTGCCAAGAAAATCCCAAATGGAGTCACGAAGAGTTGAACATGACTGGAAAACAACTGAATTAGACCAGTGATTCACACCATAGTGAATCATGAAGTAGAAAGAACACTGAATTTGGATTTAGAAGATGAAAATTCCAATCCTGACTTTGCCATTAATGAGTTCTACCATTTTAAGTAAGTCATGGCTTCAATCCAGTTTCTTGCTCTATAAAATGGGAACACTTTATGGCATATGCCCTGTCAACTTCAAATTCTGTAATTCTCAAGTAGGAAAATACGTGTGAAATAAATTTGTAAATAATTGTGTGTTACAAAAAAGGCAAAGTACTATTATTATTATTACCTAGAAAATTCTGAGAGAATGAGAGGGGGGGAAAAGTAGGGAAACACCTAGAGCATGGGGCCGTGCACTAGGGCACTGCATGAGGACATCTGGAGAAAGAGTAGAGGCAAAAGGAAAGGTACTGAAAAGGAAAGGAGAAAGGTCGGGAGATCAGAGCTCTAGTCCTGGTTCTGTCACTAACACATTGTATGACCTTAGGCAAATCACATGACTCTTTGGGCCTCAGTTTCCTCATCTATAAAATGAAGGGATGAAATAGGTCCTTTCCATCCCAAATGTGCTATGAGTTTATGGTTTTATAATAGAATGCTAGAGATTAATGACACCTACTTTCCAGTTCTGCCCAGCACCAGCCCATAGTGTACAAACATAGGTAGGTTTCCGAGGAACTACAATGGAAAGCCACCCACCATAATTGCTGGTAGATACTCCTTCATACACAAACACAGATCTGTATGCCTAAGCCTCAACCCATTAAGTGTGAACAGAGCTATCTGGGTTGACAGAGCTCACAAATGGCTTTTTGGATGTACAAATATTTGAATCCCACAGTCATTGAGTTGTCTTGATGGAATGCTGCCATTGACACACTGCCTACCTATCATCACCCTCTCCTGATTGTGGATTTGACCTTCGCATGTCACATGTGATACTCCGTGCACCACTCAGATGGTCATTTCACTCTCACAAGTGAAGATACGTGCCCTGAGCTTCACCTTGTTGCCTTTTAATAGAAGGCTTTTACCCATAAGGCTAGAGATTACTAGGTCCAGAAGGCTATGTTGAAATCAAGATGAACATTATTCTACTACAATTTCATTTAAATGGTCTGAAGATATTCACAATCTTACCTATGCTCTTCTGTAATATGTAAAAATACTCAAGCCTTCTAATATGACAGCAAGGCAATGGGTCTCATGGGACTTAGGTAATCTGTGGATCCAGAATCTGAGGAACAATGTATTAAGGTCCAGGCTGGAGTCAACTCAGGATAAACTGAGGATTAGCTATGATTTATGAGTTTAAAGTCTAAATCCAGGATTAGGGTAAAGAAATTGTTTCTTATAACAGTTCTTTCCTGTTGTCTTTTTTGATTCATTCTGGTTTCTCAACCTCCTTTCTTTCTTCCTTTCTTTCTTTTTTATATTCCTCCTACTTCCTTCCTCCTGTTTTTTTTTCTTTTACAAGATGACTTCCTGCTTTGTGATAGATATATGGATATAGGATCAACTCTGTCTACATCTGATGATGATAATGGGAGGACAACTTTAATCTTCCTTCCAACCTGACTAGTTGGCCATCAGTCAAGGAAGTAGTTTTCCATGTCTGTATTTATATTCCTCGCTCTTAATTTTTTTGAAATAGGGAATTTAATCCTATAGTTATTTTTACTTTTTTTTTGAGAGCCAAATGTAAATTTAAATTGTCTTTTATGGATATGCAGTCCTCACTGTCTTGTTATTTCCTGTGAGTCACTTACCTTCAAAAAAACAAAGAAGTGCCCTCCTCTTGATCTATGATAATGGCATTTGGCTCCCCATTAATAGGACACATCACTGATAAAGGATTTGCCATCAATTCTCTTGCCCTATCCTCCTTGCCACCATATAGCAGAAATCTTGATGACAGGATTAAGGGCTGGCCTGGCAAACTCTCCCACATGACTCAATGTGAACAGTATAACGCATTTATTTCTCCAGCAACTCTATTTTCTGAATCAAAATCTGACAAAGGACATTCATTAGGAAGCCTTGATGAAATAGCACTTTTAAACACCATATAATTAATTGAAAAGACAGAACTAGCCCTCAGTGAAGGGAGGAAAAAACACACTTGCCTCCCTTCTTTGCACAAGTTGGGGACTATGGGTGTGGAACATTACATATGTTATTAGAATCAGTTGGTACATTTGTTAGTTTTGCTTAATTATTTCCCCACAGACACACTTTTTAAAAATTCTTTTTAACAAGGTATGGGCTCTGTGAGTAGGAGAGGGGAAAGGGATGTATTTGGCAATGAAGGTGATAGAAAGAAAGAAGAAAAGAAAAAAACACTTTTGTATTCTTGAAATTGGAACTATATTGGAAAAATCTAAGACATTTGTTTACCATATACACATCTCCCATTAGCTTCAGTTGTCCTAACTTACCAATGGCCTTCTTTAGGGTCTCATAGGTAATCTCCTCAGCAGGCACTCTCTGTAGAGAAAAGAGAAGATGTTTTTGAACCCTAGGTTTCTTAGGAAAGGTGAAAGAAGGAAGGAGATGTCAAAGGACACAGAGGTCTTCCTGGCTTTGAATTCCCTAATATCCTCATCTACCTAAGTCCCAGGCTAGAAAATTAAAAGCCACTTAATTTGCCAGGAGGGGGGTCCTATTATCAGAAACTGTTATAGACTGGTGAGACACCTACCAGGGACCAGGTAGCCACATTGTATACAGTTAGTCAGCTGTTCACACAGAAAAAAGAAACTACCCTTTGACTCAGTAATACCACTTCTAGGTCTGTATCACAAAGAGATCATAAAAATGGGAAAAGGACTCATGTGTTCAAAAACATTAATAGCAGCTCTTTTTGTGGTGGCAAAGAATTAGAAATTGAGGAGATGCCCATCAATTGGGGAATGGCTGAACAAGTTGTGGTATATAAATGTAACAGAATACTATCGTGCTATAAGAAATGATGGGCAGGCAGATTTCAGAAAAAGTTGGAAAGACTCATATGAACTGATGCTGAGTGAAGTGAGCAGAACCAGAAGAACATTGTACTCAGTAACAGCCACAATGTGTGATGACTAACTTTGATAGACTCATCTCTTCTTAGCAATGCAAGGATATAAGACAACTCTAAAAGACTCATGATGGAAAATGCTGTCCACATCCAAAAAAGAACTATGGAGTCTGAATGCAGATCAAAGCATGCTATTTGCTCTTTTTATTTTGTTTGTTTCTTCTTTCTCATGGTTTCTCCCATTGGTTCTAATTCTTCTTTACAATATGACTAATGTGTGGGGCACATAGGTGGCACAGTGGATAGAACACCGGCCCTGAAGTCAGGAGGACCTGAGTTCAAATCTCACCTCAGACCAAACACTTGACACTTACTAGCTGTGTGACTCTGGGCAAGTCACTTAACCCCAATTGCCTTTAAAACAAAAACAAAAACAAAAACATGACTAATGTGAAAATATGTTTAATAGGAATGTATATGTAGAGCCTATATCAACTTGCACACCATCTTGCAGAGGGTGGAGGGGAAGGAGAAGGAGAAAATTTAGAATTCAAAATCTTATGGAAGTGAATGCTGAAAATGAAAAATTAATTAATTAATAAAAAATATCAGCCCTCAGGCAAAAAAAATTCAGAGATTGGCTAGGGGGGAAGTTTGGTTAGATTTCGACTTAGATCAGTAATTATATTTCAGAAAGACCCCAAAATCCTCCCTGCCAAACAAAGAATCTGTCTTTTGTACTTATTACCAATCCAGTTTTATTGAACCTTATGTGAGGAGACCACTATATAATCTGTTTTTAAAATATTCTGTTTGAATGAGTTTAAGATATTTAGAATGAAAAAAAAAAGGATTGGGTACCTTAGAGAAACATGTTGGCATGACCACCATTCTGAAAAATTAGCAAAGAAGTGATCCAAGGCTAATTGAACATTTATAAAGAATGTAGAAAGGGAGAAAGGATAAGAGACCTTCCCCTATCAACTATTCCCCCATATGGGTTGTCTCTCCCCGTTAAATTATAATAGCTCTCTCAGCCCTTAGTAACTTGGTTGCTAAGGTAACCTTTTCTGATTGAAAGGAAATCACTATGGCTTTGATGTAGGATATATTCAGACAGAGAAAAGTGTGTGATATTTTCCTCATCTTCTGTTTCTGACCTGGAAAAGGAAAGATTAAGGAATGGGGAACAAGGGAATTGAGACCCACATGTCCTTCAGTCAAAAGATTGTTAGTTTTGGAATTAGTGGTAAATTTATCATATGCAATGGGGTATATGTGTTTATTTTGAGACTAACAGTAGCAGTAATGGCGCACTGCCACACTTCAGGGCTAACTTAAAGCAAATGAAGGTAGGAGTCTAATACAAATTTATCAATTTTGTGTTGACTTTTCATGGATATTTGTTTATGGAAGGCATTTATCACTCAGAGAGATACTGATGTCCTATTAGCCTCCTTGACAGGAAAAAAGAAGAAAAAGAGAAGAGGAGTTGGGCCTAGCAAGTGGGGGAGGACCTGAGATAAATTCTGCAAACTGATCAGAATCCTGATAGACTCATGGTCTTAAATTATGTGCAGAACTGGTATGAGAAGTTCAAAAAGATCAGGCTACGTGGCCTAAAATTTAGGCGACCAAGAGGTTGGCTTAAGACCCTTAAACAATCAATTAATTAATAAGCATTTATTATTGTTGTTGTTATCATTATTGTGTCATAGTGCCTTGGCTCTCTGCAGAATCTGACACAAGGCAGAAGGAACTGAGTAGGTAATAGCTCCAGGTCCTCATCTGTAAAAATGGGCACTTGGACGAAATGACCTCTGAGGTCACTTATAGCTCTAAACCTATAATCCTAAAGTGTGATTTTTTTTAAAAAATGAAATCTTAGAACAAATGATCTTTCAAATAGACTGCTAGATTGTGGGCAGCTACTATTACATTTTCATAGTTGCATACCTAGCATCTAGCACATGGAGTGTGGCACACGGAGGGTCCTGAATAAACGTTCACTGACTTGAATCCGATTAGTAACACACATCACCGATTTTATAATAGGAGTCAATAGGAAAACAGGGTTCACTTAACAGAAAATTGTTTTCCATACATGAATTAATAAAAAATTTTTTACTAAGCAAGCACTGTGCTACTAATACGGATTTAAGAGGACACAGAAATGAAGTCTGAGAGCCATGTTGAATGTGAAGAGAAAAGGGAAACTAGCTCCCTCTCCTGGTCAGGATGGTATATGAGAAAAGAAAGAAGTTTACCTCTTCCTTCTCTGGGCTATTCCTTGATTCTACCTCCACCTGAAGGGAAATGGTTTCACCAATGCTCTTCCTCTTGGACAAGCGATCTTCATCTGGAAAAGAAAGATTCCCAGAAACTCAGAACATCTACAGGAAGCCATGAGAACTAAGCACTGAGATTCTCAGGATCCATTCTCTCTGCCCCCTTAAACATTCACTGATTTGCAAAAAAGAAAAAAATGCTGATAGAGAAAATAAGCCCAGCCAGGGAGATCTCCAGGGTGACACACAGATTTCGAAGGGTAATGGGAGTTTGTTGGAACTTGGGCTCTGCTCCAGATCTGCTGAGCCCATCTGGGATGGGTACTTGACTTTCTAGGGCTCAGATTTTCCTTCTATTTAATGGAAACAGGAAACCCAAGAGATCTGGTTAAGGCTTTGAAGTCATTAGAGAGCTATAGGAAATCCCATCCTCTGACTGGGGAGGGGTTAGCAAATCTCAGTTGGCATGAGATTTGTTAGCCATAGGCCAGGTTATTCCTTGAACACATTACCCCTAAAGATGCTAGACCGATGGGTAAACCCCCAACATAGTCAGCAGGTGTCTCACTACGGATTTCCTTGAGTCTTTACCAGTTCTGGGTGTCATGAAGGGCTGCCAAGGAGAACGATCTGTAGACCCAAGCCCTAGCTAGTAAAAGTGAGGGGGAGGAGGATGGAAGTCCTTGTACTCCAATTCCTACCTGTCAGCTGAGGGATGTAAGGTGTGCAGAGCCTATCAGAATTGTAGCCACTGCCCCCCAGGACTTCACTGATCTTACTCTGACGGAAGAGGAGCTCAATCACCACTTGGTCTAGGCTCTGGGACAACCTGAAAAAAACAAATAGGAAAGAACAGAAGAAGGAAGAAGGTAGAATCATGAATAAATGGGATGGCTGTACACTCCCTCTGTGTCCTTCTGGTCCTCTCTGTCCAAAGAAAGAATTGTGCTTTAGGCTACCTGTCTAGGATTCCAGGACCAGAAGAGTAGCCCCCTGATGATCAATAAGGCATAAAAAACTAAGATGCTTCCCATAAGCATCTCAAAGAGATGAAAGTAACACTACCCTGTGGACAATATAGCACCCTTAGGCGATAACATCACCCTGTGGGCAAAGGGTCCCCTAGGTAATGTTGATATGGTATATAGATAGTGTCTTGTCAAGAATGATCCTTCCAGAATTCACTCCCTCACAAGAATGGTCAATGTGCCTAAGACTGTCTCACCCACTCTGGTGCATAAAAGGATGGTTAGCCACCTGGTGTTCAAGGCTTGTGTAAGAATAAGAGACCAAGAAACTCAACCTGGGACCCCTACACTGAAGTGTGTGTGTGTGTGTGTGTGTGTGTGTGTGTGTGTGTGTGTGTGTGTAGGAGGAGGAGGGAGTTATCCTATTTTGTTTTCCCTTCTTTCAGTTATCTGGGTATCTGGAGTGCTGGGTGCTCTCTCTTGTACTCAGGATACCTTCACCCATTTTGGTAAGTGCCTCCATCATCCCTGAATCCAACAGAGGCCACCTTCTCACCTGGGTCTCTCCACAAAGACGTCTTCTGGGAGCAAGTATGGCGCTTCCTTCTGCCTGGTCTCTATTACCTGGAATGTGGGAAGAAACCAATGAACAGAGCTGGGCCCGGGAAAGAGAATGAGCTCAGAAGAGACAGGTGAGATCAGGGGCTCTTGTTTCCGTGTTGCCATTTCCTATCCTCAAAACAGTAGACTCTAAAGCTTCAGTGTGAAATTCAGAGAAATGCTGATGTTCCAAGCAGCCTAAGAAATATTAAGTGGCCTCTGGCATCATCAATGGCATTTCAGTTGCTGTAACACGTAATTCAGGGCTTAAATTCTAGAGGGCTGCAGTTTCTTCTTAGCCCTATACCCTTCAACTATGAAAAAAAAATGATAATGGTCATTTAGCAACCAGTTGTATTGTGACACAGTGAACTGTTAAGGCACCTCTGGTATCACTGGGCAGTGACATATGATCCTGTGTTTGCTGATTCCTCTCTGCTAGTTTTTTACCATGGAACTGAAAGGTGGTGAGGTTACAGAGGATGGAGCATGGTAGGTATGAGGGTGTATGGATGCTTTACTAGACTATTCATGATTAGCAGGGGGAATACACCACAATGATCTACTTACAGGACCATGGATTTTGAGCTTAGAGAGTATCTAATTCAACCTATTCATTTTATTGATATGAAAACCCAGATTTTAGCTGAAATGACCTGCCCGAGGTCACACAGTATAATAAGGAGAACTAGGATTTGACTCAAATCCTAGGGTTCTTTTTACTTTACCAAGCTGTTTCTCTCTTTCATTATTAGGAACTAGATTTATTCCTGGCAGAAATAATAGAAGAGGCCAAGTTCCAGCATAGTGATTCCTTAATAATTGTGCTTTCCTCAGGTAAATCCTTCCCACCTCTCCCAATCTAGGCAGGGAAAAGTACAAAATCTTTAGTCTAGTATCACAGCAGATGTTTCATGATCTGATTCTCCATCAGCCTTTCCAGTCATTTCATGTTACCTCCACTTCCTGGCCTCTCTGTTCCAGTCAAACTTGCTTACTAACTCTTCCCCCACGTGACATTTCATCTCTCACCTCTATACCTTTGCTATCACAGTGCCCCTCATTTGGAATAATCTCTTTCTTCATATCCATCCCTTGGCTCCATAAATTTCCTTCTTCTAGAACAGTTGGTATAGTGCTGGGTTTGGAGTCAGAAGACCCGAGTTCAGATATGGCCTCAGACATTTACTGGCTATGTGACATTAACAAGTCACTAAACTTCTCTGTCTCAATTTCCTCAACCGTAAAATGGAGATAATAACAGCACCAGGGTTGTCGTCAGGATCAAATAAGATAATATTTGTAAAGTGCTTAGCACGATGCCTGGAACACAGTAGGTGATGTTATAAGTGCATATTATCTCTTCCCCCTTCTAGACACCACTCAGGTACCACCTCTTAACACAAGGCCTTACCTGATTCCCCAGTTATTAAAGTTCTCTCCCTCTTATAAATTATTTTGTATGCTTTTGTATATAATTTAGGTCTGTACATATTCTATCCCTGCCAAAGAACGTCAGCTTCATGACAGCCAGAAGTACTTCTGTGTTGCCTTTACATTTCTTGGCGTCTGACACATAGTAGGTGCTTAATAAATACTTGTGAAATTGTGTGTGATCCTGGGAGACTCACAACACCAAAGGTCTCCTGAAGCATGAGGAAAGGGGCAGCTAGGTGGGTCAGTGGATCAGTCACCGGCCCTGGAGTCAGGAGGACCTGAGTTCAAATCCAGCCTCAGACACTTACTAGCTGTGTGACCCTGGGCAAGTCACTTAACCTCATTGCCTCAAAAAAAAGCATGAGGTAAAAGGAAAAAAGCTTAGCAAATCCTTAGACAAGGCTACCAACCTCATGGATGTGCTGGCAGAAAGCAGGCACAGCAGTAAGCTGACTGATGAGGTTCAAGTAGGCAGCTCCCAGAGCATAGAGGGCACAGCGGTTGTATGCAGGCAGATTTTCTTCATTGATATGGGCCATTTCCTATGTCAAAACAAAGACAAATCCACAAGGGTATTTAATCCACATCTTCTACCAAATCCTCCAACCCACTATCCAATTCAACTTACCCTTTTCTGGAAACTTCACTTTTCCCAGGATTCTCCCCTGAATCATAACTAGCAATTTTTTAGGCCAGGGACAAGCAGCACAAAATAAAACCTTGATTCCTAGTAAAAGGGAAGGGAAGTCTTTGGGCCATTGCCCCACTGTGGGAAGCCAGAGACTCTAGGATAATATGAAGTTGTCAAACTGTCTGCTAAACTCTATTGTTTCTATTTTTTTTTTTTATCATTTTACTGAAAGATTGCAAGTGTCTTCAACACCCTCAATAGCATTACCCTGTGGCAAGCACGGCCACCCCATCCTAATTTTAGCACTGACTAAATCCTTCCCAATTTACAGACCATAACTTGTGAGAGGATGGGGGGAAATGGCCCATTTCAGTTATGCTGTAGAGTATCCAAAACAAGGCACGTGCATGAAGATTTCATCAATTTTTGGCAACGAGAGCAATTTCATTTGGCTAGAGCATCTTGAGGTCAGTAACTTCCCTACTTTTCAGTGTTGCCTTCGACCTCCTTCCTACTCTTCTTCATCCTTGACAGCCCTCTTCATCATCATTTTTCTTGCTATTCTTTATGCTACATGGACAACATTCATTCTATTAGATTGGATGCTGTCCAATTCATTTAAAAAGCCATCAGTCCCTTTGTGGGGCTAAGACTCCCCCCTTAAACTAAGTTAGTGAGCCACTTATCAGAATAAGAACAGCTGACTGAGGAAGGGAAAGATACTCCTACCTCCACCCCTCGCTGCCAATTCTGGCTTTGAAAGGTGCATAGACTTAGAAAATTGGAAGCTAACATCACTAGATTTTTTTTCTTGTCTGAAATAGGAGCTTATCAGCTATGATAAGCTAGGTAGTCTCATGTTCACATCTGAATTACTAAGGTTCAACCACACTTGCTAGCAGAAAAGAGAGTATCATGGAAGGTTATCATGGAACACACAAAGCCACAGAGATCCCATTTTCATCACATAGTGAATGATAAGCCAGGCTAGCATGGGTGAATGATGGAGAAGTGGTTGTTTGGGAGATGCTATTAAGTGCAAGAGTAGATCCTAGATCTTTGGGCATATGCATAAATGGGCTTAAGGAACCCTTCCCATCCTATAGCTGCCTCAAGGGTTATACTCCAGGTGCAGGCTGGTTAGGCAGTCTAAGTCATCCTCTCAAGGGAGTAAATTGGTTTTAGGGTCCCCTAGGATTCATAAATAACCCTGAAGAGTTCTAGGAGGCCCAGATTCATCCCCTTGGAGGGGCTTGGGACAAGGGCAGATGGACGTGTGTGTGTGTGTGTGTGTGTGTGTGTGTGTGTGTGTGTGGATGGACGAAGGTCTCTTGATAGCCCTTATCTGAAAAAACTTGTGCAGGTCTTGAAGAGGAAAATCCGTGGATTTTTCTCAACTCGCACCTCTAGAACAGACTAGTGAACCTTGGAATGTCCACAGTTGTTCCACAGTTAGGGAGGTAACCCTCTGGCAGCTTCTATGGGATGGCAAAATAAAGGTGAATGTTAAAACCATAGGCTGGGGGGGGCAGGAAGTGGAGGCTCAACCTCCATAACATCTCTTGAATCCATTCTCTCCTCCCCACCCTCACAGCTACCATCTGATTCCAGGGCATCCTCATTTCTCACTTGGACTCCTGCCACAGCCTCTTCCTTCTCTAATCCAGCCCCCTCACAGCTGCCAGAGTAGTATTCCTAAAGCATGGGTCTATGCCATTTTCCTGCTAAAGAAGGTTCAATGGCTCCTTCTAGGATCAAATGCAAACACCTCTGTTTGTCATTTAAAGTCCTGTACAATGTGGCTCATTTCGCATCACTCTCCCTGTGGTGAGAAACGTCATCTCAGACTTTTTATGCTCTAGCCAACCTGGTCTACCTGCTATCTCCAGGATACATGCTATCTCCCACCACAATGCCTTTGTATAGCCTGGAACGTGCTCTCTCCTCACCGCCACCTTCAAGAATCTCTTCAAGACTGATTTCAAGTATGACCTCCAAGAGGCCTTTTCTGATTTCCCCAATTGTTAGTCCAGCCCCTTAGTGACCCCTCAGTCACTGAAATTAATGCTTTCATATATACTTAATATTTTATATTTACTTATTTAAGTAAATGTTTCCTCCCAAGGGAATGTAAGCTCCCTAAGGGCAGGGATGGTTCTCATTTTTATCTTCATATTCCCAGTGCCAAGCACATAGTAGGCACTTCATGAGTGCTTGTTTAAATGAACTGAAGGCCATTTTTGTCATGCCTTCCCTGGAAGCTTACCAGTGCTTTGCCCAAAGAGATGTCCTCCCTGTCATCCCGATTCCAGACTTTTCAGGGTCCTTTCCCTCCCTCTGGCTCCTTACCAATATGGCCTCACCTGGACAGCCAGCACGAGGCGAATGAGGTCCACCACCACTTCTTCGTTGGCCAGCTCGATGCTGATGAGTGCCAGCATGCTATAGAGAGCTTCGTAGTGTTTCTGAACATTAGTCTCCTCCTTGCAGCTCATGTAGATGTGTCTGTAGAGCTGCTGAGAGTGCTGTGGGCAGAGCAATGAGGCACAAAGAGCAGGATGGGAGACTTCTGCCCTCAGCCTGGAGGGTGCCCTAATGTGATCTTTCAAGGCAGTCAGTGTTTCCAGGGGAAGGCAGCAAGAACACATCATTCAAGGCAGTCAGTGCCTCCAAGAGAAGGCACTAAGAATTGAGCTTGGGGCAGGCTTCACAACAAAGCAGACATGAGGTGGGTTGTTCCCTCCTTTAACCCCTGAGACAAATTCTAGGGAAGGACCAGAGGGCCTGCAGGGCTCAGAGGCGGGTCTACCACAAGTGTCCTTCAGTCTGAAGCTCAGTGCTAAAGGCTAACCTCCTGCTAGGTTTCTCTTGAAAGTCACATAAGAAGGAAAAGCTGGCCATGTGAGTTAAGCACCTTAAGGAGGTGACAAGAGTGAGAAGAAATCACAAGGGGTGATGGAGAGGGAGGAAGGCAGGATTCTTGAGTAAGGAGAAAAGTCTACAGATGAACTTAGGGATCTGGAAGGTTAGGGAGGGAGAGGGGTCATTTATAGATACTGCCTTAAGACCTGACCTAGATTAGGAAACCAGATGTGGAGGTAGGGATGGGAAGGGGGGTACAACAGCCTGGGGGGGTGCTGATTTGCATACCTTCTTCATGAACACAGTGTCTTGCCGTGAGCACTTGTCCACCTTCAGTTTTAGGACAGAGATGTCACTGAGGGTGCTGTGAAGAGAGGAAGTGAGGGGTAAAGTACTACTCGGATGCTAGTTAGCTCGTACGTAACTGTCCTCCCATCTCCATTTTCTGAGTTCTAAAGTCCTAGAGATTTCTACCTCTCTCCAGATATTACCTTCATTTGCTGTGGTTCTTTTTTTTTTTAATAATTATCCTTAGTCCCTGGTAGGAGTCAGCATAGCAAAATAGACAGGGCACTGGACTGGGAGTCAGGAAGATGTGGGTTCAAACCCTAAGACACTCTTGCTTTGTAACCCTGGCCAACTCACTTAATTTCTCTGTGCCTCAGTTTCTTTGCCTGTAAAATGAGATGGTTAGATCTGGTGGCCTCTAAGGTCACTTACAACTAAATTTAAAGGCCAAGGATATCCACTGCATCCTGGGCCATTGACAACTCACTGGACTTTGTTGACTGAAGAAGAGAATGAGGCTGAGGACTTTGCAAAGCTCTGCCTCCCTCATATCCGATTCACACAAGTCAAGATATGACTGTCATGGTGCTGCTGGTCCTCTTTGAGAATGAAGGCTGAACAACAATATGATGATAGGATTTCATGATCCTGGTTCTTAGGCTCATAGGAAGTTTAAAGGGAACTTAGAGAACATCTAGTCTAGGGGTGGGGAACCTGCAACCTTGAGGCCACATGGATTTGTTCTGGGAAGTTTGGATTTGGCCAAAGGGCTGCATTTGAGGACCTAGAGGGCCACATGTGGCCTCGAGGATGCAGGTTCCCCACCCCTGATTCTAGACCATCCCATTCATTGTCCATCCAAGGAAACCAAGGCCAGGGAGATCCAGTGACCTGTTCAAAGTCACATCGGCAGTAAGGAGCAAAGCCAGGATTTGAACCAAGGTCCTCTGACTCCAAACCCAGTGCTTCTGCCACTGTACCCTAGCTGTCTCTGTTTTCCTTGGCACTTTACTCCCCAGTCTCCATCTCTTTTCTCTCAGATTTATTTTCCATTCTCTTTGCTTATTGCATCCCAATGCTTTTCTACACTCACCACGTGCTCTTTTTGTCCCTTACGACTCCCTTAGGCAAGGGAAGCTCTCCAATCTTGATTTTGCTCTTTCCTCCCATGTCTCTAATATTTTAGCCTTTGCCTCTTTCCTTCAATATCTCAGCCAGCCATAGTCATGGCAATCTCTCTTGTTTTCCCTTTCCACCCATGTGGCCCAATCCCAGGGTCACTGTCTATTCTTATCCCTCATGCAGCCTCTGCCCATGAAAAATGATCATCATGATGATGACAGTAATAATAATAGCACCTACTATACATCAGGCATTGTCTAAGCACTTTACAAATAATTCATTTGATCCTTACAACCACTCTGGGAAGTAGGTGCTATTATTACAACCATTTTATTTTTTTTATTTGGTTAGGCAAAGGGGTTAAATGACTTGCCCAGGGTCACATAGCTAATAAGTGTTATGTGTTTGAGGCCGGATTTGAACTCAGGTCCTCCTGAATCCAGGGCCGGTGTCTATCCACTGTGCCACCTAGCTGCCCCTATTATAACCATTTTACAGTTGAGGAAATTGAGGCAAACAGAGGCTAAGTGACTTGCCCCAGTTCACACAGCTAAGTAAGTATAACAGGGTAGATTTGAATTCAGGGCTTTCTTGACTGCAGGCCCACCACTCTATCCACTGTACCACCTTTCTGCTATGACATTCTATTGTCTTTATAGACGTGTATCTGGGCTTCCTCAGTGAGTAAGCCTCTTCAAATTTCATAGTTGTGTTCTACCACAGTGTGAAACCCATAGGATCAGGGGCTAGGTGCCCTCCTTAAAGACTCTTTAACCCCTCATTCCCAAAGGACATCCAATTAACCTGATAGTGGAGAATTTGTGGCGGTTGCCATGACGATCAATGAAGCTGATGAGGATCTCCAGGACAAAGAGACGGATCTCAGCATCCTCCATGAGAGAGGCAGAAAGAAGCCGGTCCAGGAAGGAGCTAGGCAGGGCAGTCAGCATGTTGCTGCACTGGAAGCCGGTGGATACCTGTCAGGAGGGCAAGGATGGTAAAGTTTAGGGAAACTTTCTTTTTTGGAAGATGGGAATGGGAGGGAAGGGAATAAACATTTATATACTACTACTACTACTAGGTGCCAGGCACTGTGCTACACACTTTTTACAAATATCTCATTTGAGCTTCATAATAATCCTGGAAAGTAGGTGCTATTATTATCCCCATTTTATAGTTGAGGAAACTTGAGGCAGACAGAGGTTTACCAACTTGCCCAGCATCACACAGCTAGTCTGAGGAGGGATCTGAACTCAGGCCATCCTGACTCCAGGCCCAGCACTCTAACCAATGGAGTAGAACAAGCAATAAGAAGTAAATCTAAAAACTCTTTTCCAAGTTTCCACCTTCTCCCTGAGCTTGGGACGGGAGCAGAAGTGTGTCTCTTCCATGCAATGCTATGGTCCTCAACACTTTTGGCAGTTGGGTGGCACAGTGGATAGAGTGCCAAGCCTGGAGTCAGGAGGAACTGAGTTCAAATCTGACCTCAGACACTTACTAGCTGTGTGACTCTGGGCAAGTCACTTAACCCTATTTGTTTCAGTTCCTCATCTGTGAAACGAGCTGGAGAAGGAAATGGCAAACCACTATAGTATCTTTGCCAAGAAAACTGGGTCATGAAGAGTTGGACACAACTGAACAACAGTGTGGCTGGACAGTGGACATACAGAAATACAATCATCCTTGTCCTCAAGGAGCTTACATTCTATCAGAAAGCAGTAAGTGGAGGCCTTCAAAGTCCCAAAGGAAGAGCTTGTTTTTGAAATAATAGGCTCAGTAGGGAAGTTCTAAGGCAGGGCAGTGATGTTATATAAATAATGTGTATCGAAAAGCTATCTTGGTGGTTTGTGTGTAGAATAAATTGGAATGGGTCAAGAGAAGAAGAGCAAGTGTTCTAGTAATTCATTTGTGAGGTGATTAAGGCTGGGCTGAGGTGGCAGCTTTAGCAATAGAAAGGAAGGGGCTTATTAAGAAATAAAGATAAAGGTTGAGAAGCTGAGTAGGAGACAGGCCAAAGGAAAGAGACAGATGTGACAGGGAGAGAGAAGCAGGGGCAAGGAGGGCAGGGATTCTGGGGAAAACCAAAAGGCAGAAAGGAAAGGCAAATGTTATTTTTGAGCTCTTGGAAGAAAGATCTTTCTTACAACATTAAGAGAGAGACCCAGGTGGGGACAGGGCAGGCTTACCTGAAGAAGGGATTTCAGCAGCATGATCTGGGTCAGCCGGTTCCTGTTCTCCCTATGGACCAGAGACACAAACACCAGAACACTGACTTAAGAGTAGTCACTGAATTTGGCAGCAATCCCTTCTGTAAGCCTACTCCCACCCCCCAGAGCTTAGTTCTCAACAAAAGTCATCCAGCAGAGCTAGGGCAGTGATGCCCAAATCAAGAAGTAACCACGATCTTCCCAGACCTGAAGAAACATCCTTAGAGACCCCTTAGCAAAAGGGGAAAGGAGGGGGGTAGGGCAGAGAGCAAAATGACAGCTGTGTTGAATGAAGCCATGACAACAATGGGAGGCCCAAAATAGCTGAGTGATTCTAAAAGCAAGAAGAGAGGAGCAGAGGAAAAGAAAGAAAAGAGAGAGGGGAAGGACGGAAGGATGGAAGGAAGGAAGGAAGGATGGAAGGAAGGACAGAAGGAAGGAAGGAAAGGAGGAAGGGAGGAAGGAAGAAAGAAGGAAGGAAGGAAAGGAGGAAGGGAGGAAGGAAGAAGGAAGGAAAGAGGGGAGAAAGGAAGGAAGGAAAGAAAGAAGCAAGGAAGCAAGTAAGGAAGGAGGGGGGGAGGGAGGAAAAAAGGAGGAAAGAAGGAGAGGGAGGGAGAGAAAAAGGGAAGGAGGAAGGAAGAGAAAGCTATCAAACAGGAGCTAAAGAAGGACATGTCAGAAGAAGAGTGATCTGGAGAGGAGAATCAAGTCAAGTTGAATCTGGAGAATTAGAAACTGAGGAGGGGTATAGACTTGACGGATGAAATGAAGAAAAGAGAGGTTGTTATGAACTCACCCAGTCTTTCCACTCTCCACAGGGTGATGGAGAGAGGGCAATGGGACCTTGCTCATGATGAAAAGCATTACTTCAGAGCGTTGATAGGTGGGCAGTGTGCTGGCAAAGGATCCTAGATGGGGATGGAGGGCAGAGAGGTGAACCCTAGCTGGGCTATAAAGATGGTGGAGGCCTTGCATGGCGAGGCTCTTCAACACACAATATTGCTCAGCAATACTGTGAAACTTTGAAGGACAAGCAAGAAAAACAATTCTTTGGAAGGGGTTAGAAGCCTTACTGACTCGAGGGAGGAAGGAATGTACTAGATGACTCTGAAGAGCTTTTTCCAACTCGGGATTCTCAAATTATAACCACTGTAATTGTGTTTAATATCAGGGCTAAAGGTCTGGGGAGCAATGTTCTGCTTTAATTCTACTCCCACATGTCTAAATGGCTGGAAACTCAGTGTTCAAGTGCTAACGTCCCCTTTCTTTTCTTCCTTTCCCTTCCTCCCTCCCGCCTTTCTTTCTCCCTTCTCACCTCTCCCTCCTACTAAAGCTAGAAGTCACTGGCAGTGTTCTCTCTCCCTCTTCCTTGAAATTAATTTGTATAACTTTGCATAACTGTTTACTTGTCCAGACTTAGAGCTAGAAGGACCACAGAGGTCACTCAGTTCAACTCCCCTCATTTTACAGATAAAGAAACTGAGGTGCAGAGAGGCACAACCTTCCTAAACTACCTCACATTTATTTTGTATTTATGCTGCATGTACTTATTAGATATGCATGTTGTCTCCCCTGGTAAGCAGAGATTGTTTCATTTTTGCCTAGAACCTGGCAGGCACTAAGTAATTGCTTGTTGATTGTCCAAGGATGTACAGCTACTAAGGGGTGTGTGTGTGTGTGGGGGGGTATGTGTTGTTTCCAAATAGAACATAAGCTACTTGAGGGCAGAGACTGTTCCAGCTTGTTCTAGGCATCCTCCAGTGTCTAGCATATGGCAGGTTCTTAACAAATTCTTGTTGTATTAAAATCAGGCATGAGGAAGGTGACTTTTTGTTTTCTTACCTCAAGCCCTGTTTAAGATCTATACTAAGACAATTTCTCTCCATCTCCGTATCTCTCTCTTTCTCTGTGTGTGTGTGTCTCTCTCTCTGTCTATAGAAAACTTTCCAGGTTTTTATCATCATTCCTCCAGAACAACAAAAAAGCTAGATACATTAAACAAGCTGTGGAAGGTAAGGGCCTGGCCCTCCTCCCCCAACACAAAGTTTAGGAAGAATTAGGAAGAACTTCCCTCTTGGAAATCTCATCCTTAAGGAAGACAGGGATCCCTGCCCCAGGGGCTCCCTCCCCACCCCCAGGGGCCAGCCATCAGTCCCACACCAGTGGTCTTGATAACAGCCTCCTGAAACATTCTCTCCTCATGCTCCTTGATGATCTTGGTGCCAGCATTGATGGCTCCATCATAGCTGCCAGTCAGGGCATAGTCGATGCTAAGCCGTAGCTGCCTTAGCAAAGTATTGAACATCTCTAGCACTGTGGGACCTGAAGAAAGCAGTGAGAGAAGAAAAGAGAAATTAAGGCCTGGAACTCCCCTCTACCTTCCCTTGCTGATAATGCATCTCAGCCTTTTCTTGTTCAGTCGTTTTTCAGTTGTGTCTGACTCTTCACAACCTCATTTGGGGTTTTCTTGGCAGGAATAGTAGAGTGGTTTGTCATTTTCTTTTCCAGTTCATTTTTACAGATAAAGAAACTAAGGCAAATAGGTTAAGTGACTTGCCCAGTGAGGGGTCTGACTTGCCCACAACTAGTGTCTAAGGTTAGATTTGAACTCAGGTCTTCCTGATTCCAGGGCCAGCACTCTATCCACTATCCATAATGCAACCCAGCTATAGGCCACTAGCAAATGAATATTCTTCCAAGCATCCTTAGGAGCAGAGGGTCACAGGCTTAAGAGCTAGAAGAGAACTAGTTCAAAGACCATCTAATCTTCTCGTTTTACAAATTAGGAAACTGAGTTCCAGTGGGAGATGGAGTGTAGTGTGAGGAAGAGCAAGGAGCCCAATTTAACTGGCCTGTTAGATGCATGGAGGGTAGTAGTATGCACTAAAACTAGGAAGATAGGATGGGGCCAGGGTGTGAAGAACTTTAAAGTCCCAACAGAGGAGTTATATATGATCTTAGGGGTAACAGGGAGCCATTGGGGTTTATTGAGTAGGGGAGTGACACGGTTAGATACATACTTTAGGATCATCACTTTGATGGATGTGTGGAGGATGGATCAGAGCGGGGAGAGATTTAAAGAAGATGAATTAAGAGCCTACTGAAGTGATTCAGGTAAGAAGTGATCAGGGCCTATTGTTCATATGCATGGAGAGAAGGTAACAGGTATAAGTGATGAGGAGACAGAAGTGACAAGATGTGGCAGTTTGGGGCTGAGTGACCAGGGGGTCAGACTGGGAGACCTTTTCAACCTTCTCTTTTGTCCACAGGAATTAGAGGAAAGCATCTGGCCAAAGGAAGTTCTCTTCTATGCCTCTCCAAAGGAGGCTCTAAGCCCCAGCTGTCCTCTTTCCCTTGGCATTCCTCTTACCCACAGAACCAGTAGCAGCAATGACAGCCGCTTCAGACAGGACCTCCACGATGCCCGCCCGGACGGTGGCTGCGCTGCGGCTGTTGGCGTCCAAGTGACTCAGGAGCTGCTGGATCACGAGGTGGGAGTGCTGGGGCTGGGAGGAAGATGAGAGGGGATGGCATCGGCCCTGACCCCAGCTGCTGCCCACTGGGCTAGGCTATTCCTGTAAGTCCTGGGATCCTCATCCTTTAACTCAAGGGTTCGTATCCTTTTCTACGTCATTGACCTTGGCAGTCTTGTTAATGCCTATGGACAGCTTCTCAGAACAATTTTTTAAATAACTGAAGAAAATGATCAATTTAAGATAGAAGTTAGTTTAAATAAAGATGTCATTTTTTTCCCATCCAAATTCCCAGACCCCCTGAAATCTATCCACAAGACCTGCCATATGCTAGACACTGGAGGATGCCTAGAACAAACGGGAACAGTCTCTGCCCTCAAGTAGCTTATGTTCTATTTGGAAACAACACATACCCCCCCCCACACACACCCCTTAGTAGCTGTACATCCTTGGACAATCAACAAGCAATTACTTAGTGCCTGCCAGGTTCTAGGCAAAAATGAAACAAACTCTGCTTACCAGGGGAGACAACATGCATATCTAATAAGTACATGCAGCATAAATACAAAATAAATGTGAGGTAGTTTAGGAAGGTTGTGCCTCTCTGCACCCCAAGGAAGGTTTTAAGAATCCCTGCTCCTGAGATAGGTTACTCTTCCCTGAATAAGCTAAACGGAGGCACTGGGGGCATACAAGCTCCCAAGACAAGTCAATGTCAGAGAGTGCAGATATTTTGAATTCCAGCCTCTCATTCATCCCAGTTAGTGCAATAAGTCAGTGACAAAGCCAAGCTATTGTGGCCACCCTATTTCTTTCTGCATACCTCAGCTTCATGTCATATCTCATCATCATCGTACATCTTAAAGTACCTAGCCCAAAGTCATGTTGCCATGGAAGACAGCCTAGTTTTCTAAGCCAGGCTAAGGGCCAGCATCACCACACAAGGCATTGTGCGCACCACCTCTACTCAGTCCTACTTCCTGCTGGCTATATGCAGCTTTGCTCTAGGCCAAGGGAGCCACCATACCTGAACCGAATACATGATGATTTTAAAGCAACGGATGGCAAACACCTTGGGTTCCCAGAGAGAATGGTTATCTAGGTGACTGTGGAAGGAAGAAACATGGGAAAAACAAGAGTGTGATGCACTATGTGGTATCAGCTTAGTTTGGGGCAGAGAAATACCTCCCCCTAAACCCAGAGGCCTAGCAGAATACAGTGGTCCTGATTCCCAACCCAATATACACCTTTGTAGATAAGCAAGCAAGGGCTTGTGGGTAGAAGTAAAAGAAGGGGATCAAGGTGGAAGTAGGAACAGTCTACAACCTAGAGCGAGGTCATGAATTGGGGCCAGCAAGGCACAGCAGTGGATTCCAGGAAGGGAGCTGGCTTTCTGCCCCCGCCTGCCCTGTGAAGACCCTGAGCTTCTATGACTTTTGGAACCACCCTTCCAAATTGGATGCCTGCCAAGATACTGGCTCCTCTAACCAGGCAATGCTTTTTCCCTCCCTTGGAGTAAGGAATTAAGCAGGACAGGGTAGGAGAACAAGTACCAACAGGACAGAATTAGAATGAAGACTCATAAGCCTATCCTGCCAGTAGCCTCTGGATGGCCTAGACTACCCCCTGATCTCTTCTGATCACAGAGGGCAGAGCTGCAACTCCTCTTTTCTTTCACACAGGAAGGAGGGGATAAGGGGGAGTCTGAGGGGCCCTAGCATCTGAAAAGGTTGTGTCTTAACATCTCTGCCTCTCAATTTTCCCTACAGCCAAGGAATTCAGGAAGAAACTCACATGAGTACAGGCTTGATGGCATTTTTGATGTTGCCATAGGCAGCCCTGCCCAGCAGCTCTCGGAGGCACCTCTCAGCCAGTTCTGCCGGGCTCTCCTTTTCTTTCTCTGTGGCCTGTAAGGGTGAGGGAGACCTGCTGTGGAAACACAGACAAAGTAGTTGTCAGTATGGAACTGAAAACCTGAGAAAAGACATTGGTAGAAGAGAGATGCAGCAGGTGGTGATACAAAGATGCCTCCCTCACTTCTTTCTCCTGCACACGTAAGCCAATACTCTGCCAGTAACAAGCTGTATAACCTTCAAAAGTCACTGTACATCTCTGGACCTTACAGAATTCATTTATTCACTCATTCACTCATCCATCCATCCTTCCATTCATTCAACAAGTATTCATTAAGGGCCTACTATGTCCCAGGCTCTGTGCTAGATGCTGGAATTATCACCAAATTTCAGAGTTTGAAGGGACCTTTACAGTCATTTAATTCAACCAAAACCTCAAAAAAATTAATTTTCCTGTAACATGCCCAATAAATGGTCATTCAGCCTTTGATTTCCCAGTGAAAGGGAAACCAGCTCCCACTTCCAGACAGCCCATCCCCCTTAGGACAGTTCCGACCATTAGGAAGTTTCTCTTTATATTAAGAGTAAATTTCCCTCTCAGCAACTTCCATGCACTGTTCCAAGTTCCGCTCTCTGGAGCCAAAGAGAACAAGTCTGGTTCAACCCCTGTCTATATTACAGTGCTTCAATCTCTACCACCCCACCCCCACCCCAGCCCTGATCCCTGAGCCTTCTTTCCACTGGGCTTAATATTCCCAGTTCCCTCCAGCAATTCGCATATGGCATGGGCTCGAGGTCTTTCGCCATCCTGCTTGCCCTCCTCTTGGTGCTCTCTAGCTTCTCAATGTCTTCCTAAAATGTGGCTTCCATATTTTTGTGTGATAAGAAATGACGAGCAGGATGATCTTAGAAAAACCTGGAAAGACTTACATGAACTGATGCAAAGTGAAACGAGCAGAACCAGGAGAACATCATACATAGTTACAGCAATACTGTATGATGATCAGTTGGGACTAACTTAGCTATTCTCAGCAATACAATGATCCAAGACAATGCTGAATGACTAATGATGAAAAAACGCTATCCATCTCCAGAGAAAGCACTCATGGAGTCTGACTGCAGATTGAAGCATGCTTTTTCTTTACTTTCTTTATTTTTCTTGGGGTTTTTTGGTCTATTTTCTTTCATAGCATGACTTACGTGGAAATATGTTTTATATGACTGCACATATACAACCTTTATCAAATTACTTGCCTTTTCACATGAGGGGAAGGAGGGAGAGAATTTGGAACTCAAAATTTGAAAAAAAAAGTTAAAATTGTTTTTACATGTAATTGGGGAAAAAATAAAATATTAAATGAAAAATTTTGGCTTTCCAGAACTAAACATACCACATAGGTGATCTAACCAAGAAAGCATACACAGGGACTATTGCCTTCTTGTTTTCAGAAACTATGCTTCCCTTAACGCAGCCCAGAAATACGTTTACTTGTAGGGAGAGGGGTACTATATCATGTTGTTGACTCAAGTAAGGCTTGAAGTCCACTAAAACCCTCAGATCTTTCTCAGACTCTTATCTAACCACATCCCCCTCATCTAGTACTTTTAAAGTCAATTTTTGGAACTACAGCATAAGACTTTGTATTCATCCCTATTCAATTTTAATCTCCTCAACAGGACAATAAGGAAACTGCACCTGATCATCTCTATGATTCTATAGTTCCATAGCCTATGATAACTTCTCATTACCCTCAGCCTCAAGGTTGTTCTCATTCAACTGAGCACATAAGAAGAAATGGGCATTTGACACAAGTGGGGAGACTTGAGAAGTTGTTAGACACAAGGACAGGTAACTAAAGGAAGCCAAGAAAGTTTCTTTCCTAGAGATCTATGAGAGCAGATGACACATACTCCTTGATCTGGGGTAGACTTCTGTTAGGGCAGGCAATTTGCTTAGCCCTGAGAGCCAAAAATGGAGCTAAGCCAAGTCCAGGAGGGCCCTGAGGTGTTGCTGAGGCATATGTAAGGGAGAAGGAAGAAAGGGTTTTGAGGAGAGGAAGGAGAAGGAGAGACAAAGACAGGAGATAGAAGACAAGAGAGAGAAAGAGAAAGAGACAGACAGAAACAGAGACTTACGTGGAAATACGTTTTGCATGACTGCACATGTATAACCTATATCAAGTTGCTTGTCTTTTCAATGAGGGGAGGGAGAGAATTTGGAACTCAAAATTTGAAAAAAAAATCTTAAAATTATTTTTACATATAATTGGGGAAAAAGAAAGAGAGAGAGAGAGAGAGAGAGAGAGAGAGAGAGAGAGAGAGAGAGAGAGAGAGAGAGAGAGAGAAGAAAGGGAGGAAGAATTAGAAAATGGATTATAGGCCAATTGATTTAGAACTAGAAGAGACCTCAGATGTCACCTAGTCCAAACTTCTTATTTTACAGATGAGAAGGCCTATCTGTGGGCCTTGTGACTTGACTAGGAAATGATTAGTAGAGACAGGATTCTACCCCAGGTCCTATGGCTTCAAGTTCAGTGCTCCTTCCATTATACCACAGAAAGAGAGAGAAAAGAGGTGGAATCATTATCAGGTGTCACCCTATAGTAGCACCAGAGCCAAAAATGGCCTGGTATAAAGGAAAGAAAGCTGACTTGGTGGCAGGAGACCTATACTCCAATATAAACTATTTTCTGGCCCTAATACTAACTAGCTATGTAACCATGGGCAACTGTCTTACCCTTCCAAAGCCTCAGTTTCCACATCTGCAAAATGGAGATACTAATATCTGCCTGACATCCCTCACAGGATCATAGAATCATAGACCCAGAGCCGGAAGGGAGCTCAGAGGCCATTAGCTCAATCTTCCCATTTTACGAATGAGGGAGCTGAGTTGCCCAAGGGTTTATTTGGGCAAAGCATTTTGTAAACCTTAAAGTGCTACATAAATTGGAATCGTTATTACTCTGTTGCTGTTGTTTCTTATTTCTGTACAATAATAACTTACAATATTTGTGTTTACAATGTAATACCATTTAAACAGTACTTTAAAGTTTATAAAACACTTTTCATATATTACCCTATTTGAGCTTCATGACAGTCCTGTGAGATGGATACTAAAGGCATTATTATTTTCATTTTACAGATGAAGAAACTGAATCTTGGAGAGGTTAAGTGACTTGCCCACAGTCACAAAGCCAGTAATAAATACCAGAGGAGGATGTGAATCTGAATGCAATTCCAGCATTCTACCTACAAGACTGTGGATCAAAATAGATAACTATCTGCCCCTAGTTCTCCAGAGCAGCTCTCCAGACCACAGGATCGTCCCTGCAGAAGACTCTGGGGCAGTATGCCCGCGTGCTGCTGTTCTATGATAAACCACTAGAGGGCACTCACTGCAAAGCCTGCCTAGCCCCTGTTGGCATCTTGCTGGCTCCAACTCTTGGAGACCAATTGTTTCAGTCTTGCTGTCTGAAACTTCTGCCAGACTGGGAACTTGCCCCTGCTCAAACTGGGGGACGTGGCCCAGTGGACAGACTGCTTGCTGGATTTGGAGTCAGAAAGACCTGGGTTCAAATCCTGTTTCAGACACTGACTGTGTTAGGTACCTAGGGCAAGTGTCTTAACATTCCTGGGTGTTTGGTTTCCTTACCAATTGCTGCTTTCCAGAGTTTGGGCTCTGAACTAACAGAGAGAAGGGGACAACTAACACCTTTACCTCCACTATACATTGTCACTCCACTATAATACACAAGTGAGATAAGGAAGTGAAGCTATTTAGACAGAACACTGGCCTTGGAGCCTGGAAGCCCTGGGTTCAAGTCCTGCTCTGACATATACAGCCTGTGTGATCCCTGGCAAATTATTGAACCTTTCAGTGTCCCCTGGCAGCTCCCTGAGTCACAATTTGCAGAACAGTTGGCAATATGCACTGGCTGAGGGAGTTTATGAAACCACAGGCCTGGAAGAGGGGGACTGGGAAGGAAAAACATGTGACCTCACTTTTTCTACATTTTAAATTTAAAAAAAACTTCCCTATTTTACAGATTTGAACACTGACACATAGAGAGATAAGAGAATACCTCTTCCCCCAAATCTCCAGTCCAAATATGCTTTCCTTTATTTTTTCTTTGAGACAAGAGTTCTTGGGGGATGAGTTGGTAAGATGGAGTGGTATGAAACACCAAAAAGGCAGCAATAATAAAACTCCCTTTGGCAGTGGCAGCTCCTGGATCAGAATCCAGAGCTGGAAACTCTCAGCTCTAACTCTCTACCACTGTAGCTAGGTGGATCAAGACAGCCAACCTTTTTAAGGAACCTTCAATGGCATCAGGAAGGGAGGAGGGGAAGGTCAAGGAAGGTAAGTCCTTAGTCAGCAACCACAGCCCGGGAAAGGTATTTTAAAACCGAAAAAAAAAAAATTCCCAAAACAAAACTGTCTCTGGCTTGCTGTGCTAAAGTAATCTGACTCTCTGAGTCCTTTGTATCTGTCCAAAGTCCATACCAACCACTGGCCTCCAGAGAGTTGAAGACTATTATTGTCCTTCTCTTACAAATGCAGGAATTGAGGTATAGTGTGACCAAGGGTAATAAAGAAATGATGAAGGTCAGGACCAAGGTCACCCAGGGAGCCAATTGCCAAATGGGCAACAGAAGCCAGACTTCGATCCTGGGAGCTGTCCAAGGTGCCCGGGTTTCCTGGTTCTCGTGTGTAGAGCAGCTCCATGTCCTAGGGGCTGGGCCAGGGGCTAGCTTTTCTCACCCCATCCCATACAGAGGCACCCTCTCTCACCTCTCAGCTTCCTCTACATGCTGCAGGTTGAATAGCAGCGAAGGGACAATCTTGTCCATGTGCTGTGGGTCCCAGATGTTGGCCTGCAACTCATCATTCACTGTCTTCCTCACCACCCCTTGCAGGCCTTTGATGCCTGACATACGGATCCTGTGGGGGGAAAATGGCAAAGTGGTGTCAAGGAGCTTCCAGCCTTACAGATCAGCTTTCTAAGCAAGAGGCTGCAAAAGGAAGTGCCCTGGAGGTGAGGACAAGGTTGCCAGAGGGCATAGGGACAGGCCCTCAACAACACAATTCTACTTCAAGTGACCAGATGTCCTAAAAAAAGTGAGATGGTTCTAAGCTTAGACTCCATCCAGAATGGACCAGAGTCTTAGAATATCCTAGTTGCCCATTTCAAGGCCTGCCCAGCCCCTGGTGGCACCTTCTGGCCCCTCTGGGTGAGTAGTCATTCCAGGCTCTGCTGCCAGACCTGGAACCTGCTTCTGCTCAAACTGGGGGAGGTGGAAGCTTGGCACAGTGGACAGCCTGCTTGCCAGACCCAGAGTCAGAAAAATCTGAGTTCAAACCTTGTCTTGGACCCTTACTATGTGATCTTGGGTGAGTCCTTACATTCGTATGCCTCAGTTTCCTCATCTGAAAAATAAGGGAGCTGGACAAGGTGGTCTTTACTTTCTAGCTCTCCCAGGACCTGGAGGCCCAGTCAGAAACAAAACAGAATATGGCAAAGACAACATTGTTCATATTACTGTTGGGGTGATGGTACCTGGACCCCTAAAAGGAAAAGATCATGTCTTTTAAAGCAACCCAGTCCCTGGATTTTCCCATACATTTCAGCAGCCCAGATCACTGGTGCCTCTGCCCAAGGCACCTGGCCCACCCCAACCCATCTAGATCACTTAATTACCTTATTTGATATTCCTCTCACTGTCTCACGTGGCCCACTCCAGACTACTTGCATATACCAATCACTCCTTAATCCCATCCAGATCCTTTCACTATCCTTCTGTATATAAGCATCAGTTTCACCCCCATTAAGTTGCAGGTTCCTAGGAATCCGCTTCTATTGGCATCACAATAAATCTTGTCACTTGACTGGAAGATGGTTTGAGTGAGTGAATTCATTCCAGGCAAATGCTGCCCTGTACCCTGACATTTGGGGTTTCCAGCAACCCCAAACTGTGTCATTACTATGCCTGGTTCGATGTTAGTCACCAGCAAGCCAGTAATGTCTGTGGAACAGAAGGCTGCAGAATGCCAGCCCCCTTTTTCCCCTGATGGAGAACTGACTGCCAAGAAGCCTGACCTTGGTTATAAGGACATTTCTATGAGGCCATACTCACACCCAGAGGGGAAATTTCATTACAGAAAGACTAGGATTTGAGGCAGAGTATCTAAGTTACAATTCCAGGTCATCTATTTGTTTCCTATGTGACCTCTGCTGGCATCAGAACATAGACTAGTATGTGGAGAGGGCAGGGCAGGGGATTGGGGCAGGGGTGGTAGGAATCTATTGCCCCCTTCTAACAGCCTGGAATGGCTGACTTGGGGTAGGAGCATGTATCTGCCCACAACTTCTGAGCATACATCAGAGACTCAGGCTCCTAAGGGTGGACTTTCCCAGACCATGAGATTCCAGCAGATGGGTCATACCCACCCTCCAAGGGGAGGTGGTACTCAAATGCCTCCAAGCAAAGCCTTGTGTCCCACTCCCTCCAACCCAGGGATCTCATCAAGTTTATTGGGAAACTTGTCAAATCTATCAGGAATTTCCCTGATCTATCCCTGTTAAATTTAAAAATACACAGGAAAAAAAAAACTCCAACAACTCCGAGCTTTGCAACCAGAAGATAGGGGAGGCATGTCTGGACAGAAGCTTACTGGAGGAGGGGGAAAGATCTGGGGCATTTGAATGGACTGTAAGCTCAACATTATATGGTGATCAAAAAAGGTAGATTGGATGTGACTTGGGCTACATTCACTGTCCAGAAGGAGGAAGGTAATAACTCTCCAGTTTTCTTATGCTTCATTCCCTTCCAATGACATTGGCCCTCTTGCTGTTCCCTGTAAATGACACTCAATGTCCTGACTTGGAGTATTTTCTCTGGCTGTCTCCATGCCTGGAATTCTTTCCTTCCTCATTTCTGCCTCCTGGTTTCCCTCAAGTCTCAGCTAAAGTTCCACCTTCTACAAAAAGCCTTTCCCAGCCTCCCTTAATCTGAGTACCTTCCTTTGAAACTCCCCCCAGTTCATTTTGTCTGCAGCTTGTTTGTACATAATTATTTGTATGTTGTCTCCCCCATTAGACTGTGAATGCCGCGAAAACAGGAACTGTGGGTTTTTTTGCCTTTCTTTGTATCCCCAGCACTTACCACAGTGCCTGGAACACAGTAGGTGCTTAAATAATGCTAGTTGACTAAGTGACTCTCTCTCACTCCCGTCCATCTTCATTCAGTTTTGAAAATTATTCTCCTGAAGTACAGAAAGGATTTTGTCACCTTTCTACTCAATAAACTCTAGTGGCTACCTATGATCACCCAGGATCCAAAGGAAAGTCTTCCGTTTGGCATTTAAAACCCTTCACATTCTGCCCATTTACTGCCTTCCAGTCTTTTTATATCTCATTCCCCTCCATGTACTCTATAATTCAGCTACATCTGCCTCCTTGCTGTTCCTTATACAAAACAATCATCTCCTGAGATCATATCTTTCCTTACCTGAGACTCTTATCTTTCCTGGATTCCTTCAAGACCCAGCTCAAATCCTACCTTCTGCAAGAGGCCTTTCCCAGAATTCCCCCCTCTCTCCCTACAAACACCTCTACAGGTGCCTTTCCTCTGAGATGACTTCCAACTTACTGAGCATATGTCTCATATAGATATAGTGATTTACATGTTACCTCTTCCCATTAGAATCCTTCAACAGCAGGGACGATTTTTGCTTTTCTTTGTATCCTCAGCACTTAACCCAGTGCCTGGTACATAGTAGGCACTTAATACTTGTTGATTGACTGACTATAGCCTGCCCTCATCAGATAACCTCTGAATATTGTTCTGGGCACCCACATATATGGAAGAATTTTGATGACCTAGACAGCATCCATGACAGCAACTAGAATGTGGAAAGATCATGCCATATAAAGATCAGCTAAAAAAATAAGAATGTTTAGTTTAGAGAAAAGAACTTATTGGTATATGGATGGTAGCAGTGGGAGGAAGATAGCCCCATGAAGCAGTTCCCTCTGTCAATGCACACTGGTGCCTGCTCCATAATTAATAGTCTTAGAGTTGTCTGAGGCACTGAAATGTGAAGTGATTTGCCCAGTGTGACACACCTACTATGTGTCAGGGGCAGGACTTGAATGTGAGTCTACCTGATTCCTAGGCCAGCTCTCTCCCCTCCCTCTTGCCACACTACCTCTCCATAACAATTATAATAATAAAATAAAAATAGTATGTCTATGATAAAAGGAATGTCCAGACCTTTAGCTACTTAAAGGAATCCTTAAATTTACTGCCACTTCCTAGCTATTTTAAAGTAAGGTGGATGGTGGACTTATCAAAGGCTGAAGGCTCTGAAGGTTTTACTTACTGAAGTACTTACTTTACTTAGTGAAGGCTCATTGTTTCTTATATACTTGTAGTGGGCTGTAGCAGCAGCCATTGAGGAATCATGGTACCTGGAATTTGGTGACTTGTTCTGGGAAGAAGGAAACTGGGATATGGCACAGCTAGGAAGAAAGAATTAGGCCCTCTTCCTGAGCCTTTCTTTTTTCTTGTTCTACTCTGGCTTCCTGAGACAAGATGGAAGCTGCCTTGTGGACCTGGGAAGCCTTCATTTCCCACTCTTTAAATCACTTTGCAACCTACAGAGTCAGTGGTAGAGAATCAACTAACAAGGATAAATTAACAAGGGGAAAAGTTAGGTTCTTTCTACCCTTTGATCCTATGAAAGTAGCCTCACATGTACCACTATTCAAAGACTCTGATCCAGACATCCATTTTATTTTGATGTGCTAACACACAAAGGACAGTCTCTATCAGTAACACATTCATCCCTCCTTTCTCTTAAGTCATATTGTACGTACTGGCTGTCTGCATCACACAGTTTATCCTTTTATTATGTATTCTCTTGTTCCTTAATTGCTGCAAAGATCTATGTCTCCCCTGCCCAAATTAACTATAAACCAGGATCCTCTAAAATATATCAATTGATTTTTGTACATATGTGTGCTTGTATGTACAAGCACATATTTCTTTGAATATATTTCTGTGGGCATGTATTTATGTGCATTTCTATCCATGCGTTTATAACTGGGGAATATATTTCTATGTGGGTGAGTGCCTATGAAAATACTTATACATTTTAAAAGTGAATAATATGTTTATGTATGTGTGTGTGTGTCTGTGTATATATATATATACACACATACATACATATATATGTTTACATGAGCCCATAATTAATAGCTCACATGAAACAGATAAAAAAATAGCATCTCACATTTACAGAAAGTTTTACAAAGTATTTTCTTTACAACAGCTTTGAGAAGTAGCATCCGTGTTACTAATCCCCATTTTGTAGATGAGGAAACTAAGGCTTGGGAGAAGTAAAGGAACATCACACACTATTAAATGGTGGAGGGGGGCAGGGAGAGGTTTGAAACCAGGTCATCTGATTCCAAATCTTGTGGTCTTTCCATCATACCATGTGAGTGTAGTTCTGTAACTATCTGCCTATAATGGGGTGGGAGGAAGGGGAAGGTGACATGTGTAACTTAATGGGTGTTGACCCATGAATGTGCCTATGTGCATATTTATATATGGCTCTAAATGTTTGTGTTGTACCAGTTTAGCCTTTTTTCTTGGCATTTTCCTATACCACTCCTATCCAGAAAGTATCAAAGGGAGGGGAGGTATCCATGGTTTGTACAGCCTTGAGAGATTTAGGTAAATGGAACTGACAGAAAAGTTCATTAGTTCTGTGCTACAGAGGGACATTTAAAACCAAGAGAGTAGACTATTTTATGGCAAGTGGGCAAAGAAAGGCCCAGATAAAGAAACAGAGGAAACTGGCTTAAGACACAACACGGGGAGGAAGACTGACATGAGTCCATAAGAACTCTAAAATCTATAGGGGCAACTCATGGTGAGGTTGAAGACATCAGAAAGACCCTCCAGTGACTGTCAAGAGGAGGGAACAATTGGTCAGAAAATGGCTTACTCTACAGGAGTCAGATTAGGGATTGCCCCTCACCATGTGTGGTAAGAATCTCCTCCCTTCTAGATGACTTGGAGGGGGCTGGCTAATAACTCTTCTCTGAAAGTGGTCTCTGGGCTTGTATGGTCCCTTGATGAAAGTAAGACTGAGAACTTGAATATTAAGGGAAGCAGCTACAACCATTACAAAGATGAAAGTTCAGACTTGCTCAAAACACTGCCAGCTACTCAGGAGTTTAAATGTGTCTCCTTACTAACTATTCAATGAATATAAATTGGAAAGAAGAAAAGAATCTTAATAAGAATGGGGGCATGAGTCAAATATTGTGTGATAATCTATATATTTTAAACTCCATACTCAATGGGGCAAGATAGAACGTGGGCAGCCAGTAAAAAATAGTTTGAAGGGGGAAAGAAAAGGCTGAATTCACTACCTCCATCATAGACTCATGAAGGCAGCTGTGAGCTTGAACTTAAAGCATCACTTGGTGTAGAAATTGCCATCTGAGAAGCTACTCCTTTCAATTCACAGGCCTTACCACCTGCAGGATGCATGTAAGTGATATGTTTCCATGATGAAGAGAAATATCTGTGCCTTTACATCTACAAAACTGTATTAGGTTATTATGTATGTGTATTAGTATCAGGGGCATATCTATGCATACCTGTGTGCATTTATGGGGTTTATATCTGTCCCTGTTTGTCTGTGGGTATCTATATTGAGAGAAAGAATCAGGGCATAACATCAAAAGAGGACCTTATAGGTAACTGTGTGTACCTGTGCATATATTCTGTCAGTATGTGCACATACAGATGGCTGTGTGTGTGTGTGTGCGTGTGTGTGCACACACGCACATTCTAGGCGATCAGCTCTCAAATTGGTTTTGAGGATGACCTTAACCTTTGCTCAAAGATAAACTTTAAATATGCGGCATTATTTTGTCAAAGGAGGTTTTTTCATCATGCTTCTTCCTGTTAAAAAGTCTTTTAAAAACTAAGCTATTTGGGGTACAGTTTTACCCAGATTCCCAGTCTAAGACCTCATGCAGTTTTTCCTCCCTTTCCTTTCTTAGCCTCAATTTTACTGTTGCTTTCTTCACCTCAGTAACATCTAGAGGGGAGACGATAACCATGTTTTCTGAGGGGACAGAGCTGTCTTTTTGTAATAAAATGTGAAAAAGGCATGGCTAGCCATGTATACATAATAAAGAAAAGAATGTATACATTCTAAAGGCAGGAATGTTGCTAGCTAAGGGAAAGATAATGACCTTGCCCCGTTGGGCTTAATTTTATTCCCCCTACACATCCACACACATACACTCATTTGTTTGCATGGTACAATGGCAGATGTTTTAGAATGTAGACACTGGAAGAACCTGGACTCCAAGAAGCCTTGGTAGTTCATTGGGAGGCTAGCCTCTACTGTGAATGTTTGTTAAAATGTAGTGTAAACATTAGAAATTAAACAGAGAGACACATAACTAAGTGGTGAGACTCATACCCCCCCCCAGGTTCCTACTTTGTGAGGCTCTCTCACCAAGCCTATTTTCTGTACCTTCTTTCTTTTTGGTATTTTTTTTAAAGTAAGTTTGTTTTCTATACTGGCTGAGTACTCTCAAAAAGAAACTGGTTGCTATAAGAAAAATTAATAAATAAACTAAACCTGAAGGCACTACCAGGAAATGGCCCAGCTCTGTGTTATAAAGAGGTTGGCACCTGGGGCAAAGAATTTCTGACTAGAGATTGAGCATTTTCTAGCAAAGACTCTGAAAGGAACAACCAGACCATTTCTTGAAGGAAAAAAAAAGTGGAATTGTTTGGTTTTTTTCCCTAAAAAGGATTTTTGTTAGTAAGATTTGTTTGTAAAGGGGTTGTTACTTCTTAGAGCTGACAAAAAGCCTATGAGCTTTAAACTGAAAGAGTATGCCATGGTCCATTATGAGTAATGAGGAAGAGCTAGCTCTGCAGATAAGGAAGCTAGCTGGTGCTATAAACTGACAACTCACAGAAGCTCCAGAACCACATACTCAGTGGAGCTATGCTTAGCCTTAGCAACATCCACAAGACAAGCAAAGGAGTGTCTGAGTGGAGGTTCCACGTGTTCTAGAAAGGTGCAGGAGGCAAGCACAGAGAGAAGGATGCAGTGACTTTACTAGAAGTCAGAAGCTCTGCAATATCAGAGATTTGTTTCGCCCCACCAAATGCATGCCTCAGCTCCACACATTCTCTATGTATATATCTTTATAGGTGTCCACAGTAGATGGTCTGCGTAGTTGTGAGACAAATATGCCTCAGGTTTATGGGGGAAACATTGTGTTGCTACTTTTCTTACTATGCTATTTCATTAAATGCCTTTACTTTGAAATAGTTACATCTGTTGTCTAAACAATAAAGGTAAATGCATTGGTAGGGGCTCACAAGCTATGGTTTTGAAAAGATATGGACCCAGAGTACCTTGAACCTAGACTAGGCTTGTTTTGGGGAACCATTCCACAAGGGGTGTGTGTGTGTGTGGAGGTGACCCAGGTGCTATATATATATATATTTTTTTTTAAATGGTAGGAGGATAATCAGAAATTCCTTGAAGATCTCTCTATGCCTTAGTCATTAGCAGAGCAGTGTTCTGATTCCCCAGCCTTTCTCCCCCATCACCTACTCACTTGGTCTTGATTTCCAAGTCATCATGGCTGGAGTGACACATTTCACTGAATCGTGACACGAAGAAATCATAGCTCCGATGATAGGAAGGAGTGTCCTCTTCTATGTTGGCAAACTTCACAAACTTCCCAGAGATGGAAGGCAAATATAAAGGAAAAGAGGAAGAGAAGTAAGATATTTGAGCTAAACTCCCCCTTCCTTTCAGGGCTCTCGAAGTTCTCATCTCTACCAAGCACACTTTTAAAAAAAAAGAGCGAAGAGCTATACGACCCATTTTCTGGCAACAAATCTTCATTGCTAGAGGTTGTTGTTCAGTCATTTCAGTCTGTCCAACTCTTTGTGACCCCATTTTGGGGAGTTTTCTTAGCAAAGATAATGGAGTAGTTTGCCATTTCCTTCTCCAGATCATTTTACAGATAAGGAAACTGAGGCAGACAGGGTAAAGTGGCTTGCCCAGGATCACACAGCTAGTAAGTGTCCGAGGGAAGATTTGAACTCGGGTATCTCTGACTCCCAGCCTAGGGCTCTATCCACTGCTGCCCCTGCAGCTACACAGAATGAGTCAATTCTCTTTTTCCACAAAGGTTAATAACATTTCAGAACTGAGACCTAGTTGCCATTGAAGGGGATGTAAAAATAGATATCAACAACGTATTTTAAAAAATAAAAGTAAAAAATTATTTGCAAGGCTCATCTTCATAAAGCATTACCCAAATTGTCCCCCATGTGACTCCAATACTTCCTCTCTGCATTGTCTATTCTTCCCATATCCACAAATTCATAATACTTACATGTGTCTTTATGGTCTTGGAGTAAGGAGACGCGAGTTAAAATATAAGCTCTGCATTTACTAGTTGTGTGATTTGGGGCAAACAGTTAAATCCTCTTAGCCTCAACTTCCCTTTCTGTTAAAGCAGGATAATAATGCCTACCTTTCCTAGCAACCTCACAGGGTCATGGTCCTTTTTAAGTCTCGAAGTGAGGCTTATTGTTGCTATAGTTTTACAAAACAGCAATAGATTATTTATGCTTGTGTTTACTACAGCTTCCCAGGAGATCTCCTCAGCCTTCTGCTATAACCCAGAGCTCCTGGGACCTGCAGAGTTCTGCCTCTTCCTCATTCAAAACACAAAGATGCCAGGCATTTATGGCTCAAAGAGGACATAAAACCTAAAAGACAGAGATCACACTGTCTCTGCCTAGGATCATTCACCACAACCCTGTTTTATAGGGTTGTTTGTGTTGATTTCTTTGTTCCTGCGTGTCTTTATCTGCCTCTTAAAATCTGAACCCTCATGTTTACTTGGAATCCTACTTTCTGCTCCTTTCTCCTGCACATTTCCATCTAGATATAAAGCAGGAGGGTTTGTGAGAAAATTGTACTGGGAGGGTCTTGGAAGACATTTGTGACTCTAGTCAGAGCAGCTATGTAACATTAGGCAAGTCACTTAACCTCTCTGAATTTCAATTTCTTCATCAGCAAATGAGGGAATTGGACTAGATCAGGAGTGGGAAACCTGTGGCCTCAAGGTCACATGTCCAAAAATTCTACCTGGGATCTTCAGCCTCAAGGCCACATGTTTTACAGAGGAAATCCTTTTATTAAGGGGATTTGTTCTGTGAAGTTTGGATTCAGTCAAAGTGCCACACTTGAGGACCTAGAGGATCACATGTTCCCCACCCCTGGACTAGATGATCTCCTAAATTCCCTGCCAGAATACAGTATGATGTTCATAAAACTGTGTTTCTATATTCATGAGCCCTTTCATTACTTTATTTTTTATATAATGTGTTCCTTTAAATTTTTGAAATTCTTTTTTACATCTTTTTCATATTATCTACATTTCCCAGTGTATCTGTCCTTCCTTTTTCCAGAAATCGATCTTTAAAAAAAATCAAGTGGAGAAAAAAATTCAGTGAAATTAACTAATAAATCAAAAAAGTCAGATATTATATGCAGTGTTCCATACCTATAGTCCCCCACATCTACACAGAAGCAAGTGAAGGTGCCATATTACGAGCACTTTACTATACCCAAGACATGATGATGTTTTTGGAATCTATCTATCCAAAACTCTCATTCGTGGCCTCTCTTGGACTGCTATGGCCTGCTATCACTCAACATAACCTCAGAGTTGTCCCTGACTTTATTCTCTACCTTATCTCCCATATCCAATCATTTACCAAGTTTTGTTTCCTCCTGTCCATCCCCTTCTCTTCACTGACACACACATATGGTCCTAGTTCAGTCTTTCATCACCTCTCACCTAGACTGTAAGAGAGTAATAGTATTCTAATCTAATTGGGACCTAGCTTTAAATCCCCTGCTCTTTTAGTGACTAGCCTAAGCTTGCTTAGCATCATTTGTATGTGAAATAGAGAATTATAATAATAACTATTGGCTTTGCAGGCTGATTATAAGGATCAAAAGATGCAACGTATATAAAGTGCTTAGCAAATCTTAAAGTGTTTTATAAATGTCAGCCACTGACATTAGTGATACTCAAAATAAGATAATGTACACAAAATGCTTTGTTAACTTTAAAACGGTATGGATTCCTAGCCGCTGTGAATAAATGTCAAAACATTTATGCATAGGTAGCTTCCAGACAAAGAATGAGGAGGGAAGAAAGGGTTTAGTTAGCAGTTAGAGAGAAAAATATAGAAAAATTCCTTCTGCTGGTTGGGGGAAGGTAAAACATGGAATTCTACAGCTCCCGGGTAGAGTCTTTGTGCTTTCCCCATAGAAAGAACCTAGAAAGGTCATTGTGCAGGAAGCTGGAAAGAGAGATATCAAAATGTCGTGGAGTTTTTTCTTCTTTGCTGGCAATTTCTTCCTTGTGGTAGTCCAATGAGGAGAGGTTAAAGAAGAGCTGAGGCTAATTTAATGCTAAGCAACTGTAAAGCTAGGAGAAGTCAGAATAAATTGTTTGGAGCTAGGTGGGGAAGGGGATGTTAGGAAGATTTTTAATACAAAGTTAACCAAGAGAGTGAAAGTTAGGCTTCCTTTTTTTTTAAAGAGGAAAATTACTAAAAATGATGAAGAGTTAACATAGGTAGGCTACACCCTTTATCTCTTAGTCTTCTGAGTTTATTTCTTTTGAGTTGGCCCTAAACATAATCATTAAACTCCTAAGTTCAAATCTGGCCTCACTTACTGAGTGACCTTGAACTAGTCACTTAAACCAGTTTGCCTCAGTTTCCTCAACTGTAAAATGAGCTAGAAAAGGAAATGGTAAACTATTCCAGTATATCTGCCAAGAAAACCCCAAATAGGGTCTGACACAGCTGAACAACAATGTCATTTCCAGGCTCTGTGCTAAGCCCTTTATAAATATCTCATTTGATATTTGATATAAATTATTTCATTTGATTCTTGCAACAGCCGTGTGGGGTAAGGCACTATTGTGTTCTACATTTTACAGTTGAGGAAACTGAGTGACTTTCCCAGGGTCACACAGCTAGAAAGTGTCCAAGGTCATACGTGATCTCAGATCTCCCTGATTTCACACAGAACTCTATCTATCCACTCTGCCACCCAGCTACATAATTTAACTCGGGAGCTGCAAAGCACTCAAGAGCAGTATGCCACATGATTTTTATGATCCTTTCCACCTTTGATTCTGTTCTAAATACTAATTATTGGTGTGTTCCTTCACAATCAAAGAAATCCCCCTCACCTACCTACCCCCATCCCGAGAGTTCCCTATGCCTGATGAAATCACAGGGCTGGCCCCTATCTCTGTTGAGGGCAGAGATTATTTGATTTTTGACTTTATATTCCTAATGTCTAGCACAGTGCTTGGCATGCAGTCAGTGGTTAATAAATACTTGTTGAATGATTGTTGGTGATTATTTTATATGAGGGACTAGTCATTACATGGGCCACAATCATAAGACCTTGCCTGCAGGTTTTGTGAGTGTGTGTGCGCATGTGTGTGTGTAATCTTACCAGCATTTGGTGATCAATTTATTGACCACTCATCCTTTTTCCTACTCACTTTATCAATCATCTGCCCTCTCAAGTTCAGTCTCTGCTCCCAATTCTTACTCATTTACCCAATCTATTACTGACCCACACATTGACTGAATGAAGTAGATTAATTACTTGTCACAGGCAAAATAACATAGCTTGGTTTGATGGAAAGAGTACTTGATTTGGAGTCCACTTTGACTTTGGTTCAAATTCTCTCTCTGCTACTTACTACTTCTCTGACCTTGGGCATATCCCTCAACCTTTCTGGACCTCAGTTTCCTCATCTGTAGGGGTTAAACTAGATGACATCCCTTTGGGTCTAAATTTATGATCTGCTTACGTAGCTAACAGCTCTTCACTGTTCTACAGTTAAAATGTGAATTAACTCAGCAAAACCTAATCAGATATCTTCCAACCTTTTTATATATGTTGTTGTTCAATTGTTTGTCAGTCATGTCCAACTCTTCATGACCCCATTTTGGGTTTTCTTGGCAAAAAAAAATACTGGAGTAGTTTTCGTCTCCAGCTCATTTTATAGGTGAGGAAACTGGGGCAAACAGGGTTAAATGACTTGCCCAGGGTCACCCAGCTAGTAAGTGTCTGAGGCTGGATTTGAACTCAGGAAGATAAAAATCTTCCCGACTCCAGACCTGGCATTCTATCCACTGAGACACCTAATTGTACCTAGCCATTTGGCTAGAAACTTAAATGCTCGTTCCCTTCCTCTCCCACCACCATTTTGTTGAGATGAATATATAATTTAATTAGCATGTCCTTGCAGAGCAAAACAAAGACATAGAAATGGTAGTAATAGAAGTTGAGTAAGAGAATCTTAAAACAAACCTGACCTAGCCCCAACCTCTCCTACCCCATTTTAAAGATGAGTAAACAGAGAAGTGGAGTGACTTGTCCAGCTCATTAGTGGCAGAGCCTGAACTAAAATCTGGAGATCCTAACCCTACAGTAGAATTTTTTTTCTGCTATGTTGTCTTAAGTACATATATTTCAAGGTACATGTGGACAAAGTGTCTCATGGACATTCATTTACTTAACTTCAGAAAGGATGGGCCAGGTATCACTTCCCCCATTTATTATGGACAAGGAGAAACATGATTTTTCTTTAAGTTCCAACTAAAATATCACCTTCTAGAGGAAACCTTTCCCAAACCCTCTTAGTTCTAGAGCTTTCCCTTTGTTAATCATTTCCACTTTAATCCATTTACAATTTGCTTGTATATATCTGTTTGTATGCCATCTCTCCAATCAGACTGTAAGTTCCTTGAAGGCAGAGAGTCTCTTGTCTCTTTTGGTATCCCTAGCACTTGTCCTGGTACATAGTAGGCATTTAATAAATGTTGATTAGTTGATTTAGGGTCAGAGAATGGAGAATTGAACTTAGTGATCCAGATACCTAAGGAAAAAAATTTTTTTAAAGAAATCTGAGTGCCTACTCCTTTCCCTTTCATGATGGCTGGGACACCCAAACAGGCCCTGCCCTCCCCCCTCCCTTCAGGTTCTGCTTACCGAATTTGTGCCTAGGATCTGCAGATTGGGCTTCTCAGACTCCAACAGCTTGGCCACCATCTTCAGGAAGCTTTCTACAAAGAGGTTGATGCTCTGACAATGGCAGGCCATAAGCAGCTGGTCCAGAGCCTCCATTGCGATGCACACATAGCTGGGGAAAAGAAGCGTCATGGATATTATTGCAGTCTAGATGCCCTATTCAATGCCTCAATAGACTTTATCCTGGGCTTGGAAGCCTGAGGCAGCTCCTAGGAGACAATAGACTCAGGTCTTCCTATCCCAACTCCAGTGAATGAGACATACATGTAATCTCTAGATTTGGAGCCAGAAGACATGGATTCAAATACCAGGCATGCTATTAATTATCTGTCACCTTGGGCAAGACATACATAGGGGACAGGAGTCAGAAACATTAACCCTGAATGTCTTCCAAGGTCACTCAGTACCCCAAGACTAAACACCCCCATTTCCTTCAGTCATCATATGACATATACTCAGTGCTCTTCACCATCCTGGCTGCCCTCCCTCAGTTTATTGATACCCTTCCTAAATTATAGTACCCAGAACAATATTTCAGATGACTCCTACTCATTCCTGGAATCAGAGGTTAGAGTAGGGAAGGGTTTAAAGAAATAATAGGGCCTTTTGTGGTTCAGTCATGTCCAACTCTTCCTGATCCCTTTTTGGGGGGTTTCCTTGGCAAAGATATCGGAGTGGTTTGCCATTTCCTTCTCCAGCTCATTTGACAGATGAGGAACAGAGGAAAATAGGGTTAAGTGACTTGCCCAGGGTCACATAGACAGTAAGTGTCTGAGGCCAGATTTGAACTCAGGAAGATAAATCTTCCCGACTCCAGGCCCAGTGCTCTATCCACTGCACCACCTAGCTGTCCATGATATGGTCTAGCTCCCTGCTATCAAGCAGATCAAATATTGTTGCCATTTTATAGATAATATAACTGAGGCCCAGAGATGTTCAAGTTTCCTATAATCCTAAATGCTATGCTTAAAGTCACACAGCTAGCAAAGTATTTGGAGGTACAGACTAGAATTCAGGTCTCTTGACTTTTAGTTCAATCCTTTTTCCCCTGTATCATTTCACTAGCAGATTGATATGAGTACTTAATCATTGAGGCAGCTATTAATCATACTCTTCCTCCCTCTCCAAGCTGTACTCCTCCCTCTCCTAGTCTTTCTCTACAATAACCCAGAAACCTCTTCACCCAGTAAGTTTACTTCATCTCATGGACTTCACATATCGCATCATACCCTCCAGCCCTGGGGACTCTCTTTCTTGGAACCTTCACTTTAAGGAGGACCCTCAGGCCAACACGCCCTCCTTCCTCTCTAGGCTACAGCTAACTCTCTGGATTTTCTCTACAGTGCCCTGACTTAGGTAATTTCACCTCCACCACCGTCTTTATGTATTATCTTCCCCTCCCCCATTAGAATGCAAGCTCTTTGAAGGTAGGAAATATCTTTCTTTTCACTTATATTTGTATTTCCAGAGCTTAGCACAGGTTCTGGCACAGGTGTTTCAAAAATGTTTGTTGACTTGGGGAAATCTAAGATATATGGAATGTACACCAGATAGAGTAATGACATTTATATAGTACTTTAAAGTTTGCTAAGTACCATCCATTATCTCACAACACTCCTATGAGGAAACTACTCTAAGTATTATTATCCCTATTTTACAGATGAAGAATAGGAGGTTCCAATAGTTTAAATGACCCATCTCATCCAATAAACATTTATTAAGTACCCAATATGTGCCAAGTAGAGGCAGCTAGATGGCTCAGAGGATACAGCACTGGACCTGGAGTCAGGAAAGTCGAGTTCAAATTCAGCCTCACAGACACTTACTTAGCTGTGTGACCCTAGGCAAGTTGCTGAATCTTCAGTTTCTCTACTGTAAAATAGGGGTAACAATAATAGCTACCTCATAGGGCTGTTATGAAGATTCAATAAGATATCTGTAAAGTGCTTAACACAGTGCCTAGCACATAGTAGGTGCTATATAAATGTTTATTCCCTTCTTTCCTCTTCCCTACCCCGTAAGTGTCTTGCCCAAGGTGACAGGTAATTAACAGCATGGCTGGTATTTGAATCCATGTCTTCTGTCTCCAAATCCAGATATTTTAGGGACAGGGAAGCTTTCATACTGTTCTACCAAATTCAGCCACTCAGTTTTTAAAATTAATGAAAAAAACATGCGTATTTCTTCTGCAACACATGGCAGGGGGAGATATAAGAGAATAAAGGGAGGATAGGAAATTACATGATCATAGGATCCTAGTTCTAGAGCTGAGAGGGCCCTCAGAGGCCATCTATTCCAATTCTTTTGTTTTACAGATGAGAAAACAAGCTCAGGAGCATTAAGTGACTTGCCCAAAGCTGTAAAGAGGACAGCTATAAGGAGTGATGAAGTGGACAGAGTGCTAGACTTGGAGTCAGGAGGACTTGAGTTTAAAAATCCAGCCTCAAAAGCTTCCTAGCTGTGTGATCTTGGGCAAATCACTTAACCTGTTTACCTCAGTTTCCTCACCTATAAAATGAGCTGGAGAAGGAAATGGCAAACCACTCCAGTATCTTTGTCAAGAAAACTCCATAGACAGAGGCCCACACGGTCACAAAGCACTGGACACAACTGAACATAAAGGTAATAACTGGCAAAGCCAGGATTTGAACCTAGGACCTCTGCCTCCAGGGCTGATGTTCTTTCCATTGTACTTTGCTTTGATGTGTTCCCAATTAGTTCCTAAAGCCTATAGATCAGGAGAAAAATCATCAGCTATAAGACCTCATTCTTCCAGGGTTATCCAGTTTCAATTTTCTTCAAATTTATGGTACAATGCTTTTCTGGCTCTGTTTCCCATACCTATTTCTCTGTCTCATCAAGGACTGAGAGATCTGGTCATGCAGTTAGTGACAGGAGGGAGCACGGTGCAGACATGAGCTTGAGAAAGGGGGAGTCTACACCTCTGGCACTTCCTTCCCCTATCCCTGACACTCCTACTATGTTCCAGGCTCTTTGGTAGACACTAGAGATGGGAAGGCAACAAGCCTATTGGGAGATATGATACATGCTCACATAAGTGGATACAAAATATGTGAAAAATAATACATAGTATTTAATGAAGTCCCATATGATGATTACATGCATCTTCATAGCAACCAGATTCAAATAATTCAATTCATTGAAATGCCTAATTCCTAGCATTGGCACCCGCCATGGTTACCCCTCCCTTGCCCCCACACCCTTTCTACATGGAAGCCTTTCCTTCTTCTGGGCCCTCCTTAATTGTTGTTTAGTCATTTTTTTCAGTGGTGTCCAGCTCTCCATAAGCTCATTTGGGGTTTCCTTGGCAAAGATAATGGAATGGTTTGCCATTTCCTTTTTTTCCAGCTCACTTTACACGTGAGGAAATTGTGGCAAACAGGATTAAATGACTTGCCCAGGGCTAGTGTCTGAGGCTGGATTTGATCTCATGTCTTCCTGACTCCAGGCCCAGCCCTCTATGCACTGCACCACTTTGATGCCTAGTTTAGGTAGCTGCCATCTCTAAAACTGAATACTTCCTAACCTTCTTCTAGAGAACTAGAGTAAAGGACTCCCTCAAAGAAATGTATCATGATAAAAGGAGATAGTCTATGTCAAGAGCAAGGGCCAGTCTGTGTGTCCTTCTGGTATGCTTGTGACGTTAAGAAAAAAAGTGAAAAATAGTATGCTTCAATCTGCATTCAGACTCCATCAATTCTTTCTCTGGAGGTAGATAGCATTTTTCATCATGAGTCCTTTGCAACTGTTTTGGATCGTTGTGTTGTTGAGAATAGCCAAGTCATTTACCGCTGAGCATCTTACAATATTGCTGTCACTGTGTACAATGTTCTCCTGGTTCTGCTAATTTCACTTTGCATCAGTTCATATAAATCCTTCCAGGTTTTTCTGAATTCATCTTGCTTTTTATTTATTATGGCACAATAGCATTCCGTTACAATGATATACCACAACTTGTTCAGCCCTCCCCCAATTGATGGACATCCCCTCAACTTCAATTCTTTGCCACCATAAAAACATAATGACCCTTTTTTTTGTTGTTTGTTTGTTTTTGCTAGTCAATGGGGTTAAGTGACTTGTCCAGGGTCACACAGCTAGTAAGTCTGAAGTGTCAAGTGTCTGAGGCCGGATTTGAACTCAGGTTCTCCTGACTCCATGGGCAGCACTCTATCCACTGCGCCACCTCGCTGCCCATAATAACAGTTTTTTATGTTAGCAAAGAATTGGAAACAAAGGAAATGTCCATAAAATGGAGATTGGTTAAACAAGTTAAGATATGTGGATGTAATGGAATATTACCATGCTATGAGAAATGACAAATATGATGAATGTAGAGAATCATGGAAAGACTTACATGAACTGATGCCAAGTGAAATAAGCAGAGCCAAGCAAACGATATACACAATGACTGTAATAATGTAAACGGAAATCACAATCACAAAATAATCAAAAGTAAATGTTACAAAATTATAAAGAATAGTAATGGTCTCCAAGAAGAGATATAAGAGGACACCCTTACCTCATTCTTTTGCAGAGGTGGGGAGGTTCACCAGTGTGGCATATTGTATATATTTTCAGATTTTTTTCTATGTACTGATAAGTTTTTGCCACTAAAAATATTATTTGTTACATGGGAAGGCTTTCTAGGAAGGAGAAGGGAAAGGAATACTAGAAGAAATTTTGGTGACATTAAAAAACCCTAACAAATATCAGTAAAAATTTATTTATCCCTGAGTACAAGGTACTTAGTAGTTAGCCCTCAAACAGTGTGTGGACTGGGGCAGCTAAGTGGTGAAGTGGATAGAGCTCCAGCCTTAGAGTCAGGAGGACCTGAGTTCAAGTCCAGCCTCAGACACTTGACACTTATTAGCTGTACGACCCTGGGCAAGTCACTTAAGTCTGATCGCCTTAACAAAAAGCAAACAACAATGACAACAACAACAACAACAAAAGCCAAATCAGTGTGTGGACAGACTCAACCTAATAAATACTACAAGTATTCCTTTTAGTAATGCTAAAATTACTAAATTTTAGTAATTTATACTAAATGTGCTATTGTTGTTTCTTGGCCTGCAGGTATTAGATTATGTAGTTAGGCTCTTAGAGAATAACAGGAAAGATGTGAATACAGACAGTTCTGGACTCTATTTGCTTTGTATTCCTTCCCATGGAATATATCTTCCTTCCTCTCCATCTCCCACCTCCTGCCCCTAATTTATTATAGGCTGTCTAATACACACCTGCCCTTCACTATACATTCCAGTTTCCACATAGAATGTAGAAACAGGTGCTGCCACTGCTGGAGCCAGCAGTGACTCAGAGAGGCAGCAGGAGCAGGGTAAAGGAGGTACCTCTTCTAAATGGTGGTTAGCAAGCCCTTCAGTCCATCCAATCAGCTACTGAACATCTCATCATCATCACTACTAAAGGCATCACTAGGCAAAGGAATGAACCTTAACTTTCGATCTTTCTTCTTCAAGGCGGCCCTTGAACTTTGGGTAGGAAGGCAAAGGGAAGAACAGAGTAAAGACAACAAAGAGGGCCAAGTCTAAGTCCTCTTCTCCAAATATTCACAATTCAAATCCCTGGTGGGGAAGGGAAGTGGACTTCAAATACTTGGACATTTGAAAGGCAATTTTTAAAAAGTTTTATTGATGTCTTTTGTTTTTATATCGCAAGTTATTTCTGAAAGTAACCCACTCCCTTACCCTCACTACCAAACTGAACCTCCTTTGTTGGGATTCTTTTTGGACCGAATCTATGATTTCATTAGTATAGAGAACTTCTACCATGGAAACCTCCTTCACCAATGCAAGTGAATACCTGCTTTTCAATGTACAGTCTGAGAAACTTGCCTAGGGTCAGAATCAGGAAGTGAACTTGGGCCTTCCTGACTCTAAAGCAAGCTCTCTTTATTACTCCTTGGCTGCCACCACAAATATTTGTTGTTTTTTTCCCCCAAGGACCAACTGCAATAACATTGCTTTTAATATCAAGGGAATGGTTTTGAATGGAAAGAAATAATTATTGATAACCAATAATTTAAGTTCTCCTTTTTCTAAAGTCCTGATTTCAAAAGTTCAGTCTCTTGAAGGACATTACTGATGAGATTGGATTAACTTTCATAACAATGTGGTTCAGACCCCATCCAGGTGGGGAAGCCATTGTGCTCTACTCAGGTTTAGGTGGCAATAAATTCTTTGAATAGACTGCCTGAGGCTGGGGGTCGTCTGGGTATAGGGATAGTCTCTCTTTGACTCAGGTCACTCTCTGGGGTCCTCACTATAATACTCATTCTCTCATTAATTGTTAACCTATCAGAGTTAACTGCCACCCTTGGGAACACCCCCCTTCCAAAGGGTATATAAGCCATGAATCCACTGCCATGATTGCCTTTGGCATTTGAGAGTGTCACTGGCCCTTTAATTTAAAATGCTGGTCTTGTTAATAAAATAATTAAATAAAAATTAATAAAATGATGAAATTACCCAGAAATTATGTCTCTCAAAATTTTTAAACATCACAGAATGCCTCTGCTTGGGGTAAGGAAATTTATAGGCAATAACAACAACAACAAAAAAATGAAGGCTTTGATTCAAAATTCCCTGGGTAGGTTTGTTTTTTTTAAAGAGATCTTGGCCATCTGAATCATTCCCCAGAGTCCTTGTAAATTTCAAGAAGGCAAAGAAAATTATTGTTAATTAAATGTTGAATGCTTACATTAGCTAGCATGCTGTAGCTTTTCTTTATGTATTCTAAGTCTGCTTTACAACACATCAGGGCCCCTCATATAATCAATACATATCTACATTTATGCCCATTTTATTAGACTGGGAGTACAAATATACTCTTTTAAATGATAATTAGGGTTTATAGTTGCTGTATCTTTGCATTTATGTTGGTTGTATTCATGATTTATTTGATGCAGAAGCCTTAGTCATGATTGCAACCTCCGATTACAATAATGTTCCTATGGAGAAATAGGATTTGATTTATGTTTTACTTTCTAGGAACCCACATTGGAACAAGATGGGAACTACTTGTGCAGGCACAGGAATGTAAGGTAGGAAAAAAAAAAGGAAAGATAGGCACCAAGATCTGGGGACAGGTCTCTGAGAGAGAGAGAGAGGGAAAGAATGAGCAGTATGGGGGGGAAAGAAGACTGATTTCCAGTTTGGAAACTGGAAAATTCTGCTCCCCATTCATGAAATGGCCATTTGTATTTATTAAATTGGTAGCCCACTTAATTAAAGAGGGGGATCTCCCCTAAGAATTGTTACTCCAAGCATACCTAGCAAATACCCTATATGTTCAACCCTAACTCCTCTGTCCAGGCTACTTATTCCAATCATCTCCACCTATAGGGATACTTGTCCCACTGGCCAATTTTGTTCTTGCCACAGCCCCTAGCGCCACTGCCGTCCCCTTCTTGTACCCCAATTCTTAATTTTCCAACCTTGTCAAACTCTTACTTCCTTGAATCTTCCTAATTTCCTCCTCCCACTGGCAATGTTGAGTTGCATATATAGTCACTCCTCTACATGCAGACTTAAAAAAAAAAATCTTGAGCCCCTGTGTCATAGCAGGGAAGTAACAGCAATCAATACATTTTAAAAATTAAATATTATTTTTTCAATTTATAATCACCTTTATCTGTGCTTCTTGCTAAGATATAGTTGGGTAGGTTTGATAGGGACAATAGCAAATTTGGGGCTGATTGGGCCACAAGTGCTCTCAAATGAGAGCTATATACATGGGGTAGGGAAGAATGCTAAATGATGCAGTCAACAGAAAGTCAACTTCTCTTTACACTCAAGACCTGGTGATAGAAACAAACCCAAACCAATGTTTGACTTGAGATAGCTAACAAGTCACCTGAATCCCAGATCAGGCCCTGCTGGTATCACTTCAATGAATAATTGGGAAATATCTGATAATTTTCATAAAGTGTCCTCATATCGTGGCTCTAACCATATTCTATAAACTATTAAGAAATCAGTGCTCCACCTCCTCACATTGCTTACCCATATCTATGGCGGCCCACATCACGGATGAGCCTTTCAGAGAGGTAGGCACCAATCCGGTCTAGCTTCTCTGGAGCTGAGAGGGCATAGAAGGTCAGCTTCTCCATGTTGGTTTTCACGAGGCCATCCTATAAAGACACAGACAGTACACCGTCATACCTACCATGCCTACACCTAGGAAGTTTCTTAAATCAAAATATAAATAATAATGATCTAGATTCACTGAACACACCACTGGGTGACAGACTGAAATATGAACATCTTATCACCTAGCAATGACTTACAAAGTCTGGACTAGGCTGAAACAGTATAAAGAGAATATCATAATTCTTGATGTCAAGGCTGTGAAATGCTTAACAATGAGACTATTTTAGAGGCTCCTCTCCTCCCCATTCCCACAACAGGAAGACTTCTTCTGTTTCTGATCACTAATATATTTGTGTTTATTTACTTATCTATCCACCTATCTATCTATCCATCTATCTATTCATAATTTCATGATCAGTGCTCTAGGTTTAGAAGTAGGTGGATGATGGATTATGAAGGATACTGAATACCTAATGGAGGACAATTTTAAAGCAAAAGTAGGTAGGGATGATCTCCTATCCCTACCCCCTTCACCTCCAACATGATGGATTTAGTTCCTTTGCCTATCCTACAATCCTTGGCTTCCTTCCCATTCACCAGGGAAGCCTTTCATTTGAATAGTAGGTTTTAAACACAGTACCGGACTTGGAGTTAGGAAGACTTGGGTTCAGATCCTGTCTCTGACATTTACTAGGTCTGTGACCAGGGACAAATCACTTAAGATAAACATATATTTAAATGCTTACTATGTACCAGGTACCAGGCTAACTTAAGTTCTAGAGCCTCAGTTTCCTCATCTATAAAACGGGGATTAAGAATAACTATAGAACAGACCTTGTACAGTTGTTGTGAGGCTCAAATGGGATACCATAAAGCATTCTACAAATATCATTCATTATTATTATTGGTGCTCTAATCTTATTATTATATAACTAGTGAGCAAGCTATTTCCATCCTCCCAAACAGAGGAAAACAATGAAAGTAGTACAAAGTTTCCACTACTCAAAAATCAGAATAAGTCAATGTGATAAATGCCACCCCCAAAGTTCACAAAAAGAGTCCTATTCCTTACAGGCCAGTGATTTGATTGTCTGTCTGGAAATAAGCAGAGATAAAGGGTCCTAAGGAGGCATGCTAGCAAAAACTGAGATCTCCACCAAGTCTTCCCAGGATCCACCTTGCTCTATTATTCCGGAAGGATGAGGGTAGCTATCATACCAGCATCTGACAGAATGCCAGATGTGAACATTTAAGGGAAGCTAGTAACAGGTGATATGAGAGAAGGGATAGATTTGTTTGGCTCAGCCCCAGAAGGCCAAACTAGGAAAGTAGGGTGCCTCCAACAAGACAGATTTTGCCTTAATAAAGGGAAAATCTAGTAATGAAGTCTGTCCAAATTTCTACTTGTCACTGAAGGCCTATAATCAGAGCTAGATTATAACTTTTCAGGAATATTGTAGATATAGATTCATGTAGGGAGGTAAACTAGATGAATTACAGAATCCCGGAAGTTTTAGACTTCAGAATTTAAGTGACTACTTAGCCCAACCCATACCTGCATGGAATTCTCACCTTACCGAGCTGATAAGGGGTCATCATCCATCCTTGGGTTCAATGAGGGGGAATCCCCTTCCTTGGCCTCAGGCAGCCCAATGACTTCTGAGGTCTTTTCTAGCTTTGAGATTCTATGGGTCTATGATAGACACGGAGGACAACCTACCTCTGGGTCCTCAGGGAAGATGTTGTCAACCAGTCTCTTGTATCGGGGGCGAAGGGCACCACAGCAGCCACACACACCTGGAATAAGAACAAAAGAGCCTTTGAGAAATGCTTTCCAGGCACTCTAAGGGCTGGGTGTTAGAGAACAGAGAAGTATGTGACTAGGCGATGGGGGTGCAAGTAAGAATTAAAATCGATGCTAGCTCTGCCTTTCCCATAGCCTACCTTGGCCCAAATACTTGCTGAATTTTGCACAATGCCAAGCTATGTCTTATTCTGGCATTCCCCTCCCTTGTAACAAGACAGGAAAAAAGACTTGCACCAGGGTAAGATGAACAGATGACAAGGATGTTCTCAAGGCAAACCAGGACCCTAGGTACAGTTCTAGTGGGGATGCGCTCCTGTAAGTAGAATCTTTCACAACCAATTCAAGCACCACCCCAAAATATAGCAGCAAAACATGTCCCAATTCTGGGACAAGGTTTTAAAACAAACTATTCCACCCTCTCAGTACTCAAATGGATCTTCAGTCTCCGTGATTTTAGATGTTCTCTCCAAGGAAGAAGATAGCAATACATCTATGTCTGCCCATCCTATATGCATCCTTTCTACATCCTCCCATAATTTCATCATAGGAGGTCCACCCAATGTGCTGGAGACCTTCCTCACTTCCTTCTGACATCTGACCAACCACACAGAAAACACTGAGTTTATGAAGAAAAAAAAATTGTACAAAATTTTTATGCTACTTTGGGAATAAGGGTTTAGGTTGGGAGGCTACCCACCTACTTGCTCCACTAAGACATTAATTTTCAATTTCTTCTTATTCTTCCCATTTTTGCTTTAACTTTTCCTCTCCTCCATCCAACAACAGCTTTCCCTTCCAAACTCTATATTTTATTAGATCATTCTCATTAAGACAATTACTTTGTAAATGTTTGTTGAATTGAATTCACCAAAATGTTGCTCAGAAGGGGATAATATTAGAAGGGAAAGCTTAGGTCTATTTTTGGTTGATTAATAAGCATTACTAACATTTTTAGGAAAGGGGGAAAATGAAATCTAAAATCTTGATGAAAGTTGGCTTTACCTCATTTTTTTTTATTATTATTGCTGTTATTATTATTGTAACAAACCCAACTTTCACAGTAAGTACTAACCCATAAATAAATCTAAGAAAAAGACTATTACTTTGTAAATGATGACAAATATCAGATTAATAGTCATTAAACCTTGAAAATGTGTTGTTGGTGGAATTTTTGCTGTTTAAAAAAAAAATCTTAAAATTGAAAGTGATCTCAGTTTAACCTCTCACCCTATGTGGGAATCCCTTCTATGATATTCCTGACATATAGTCATTCAGCCTCTGCTTAACAGTTCCAACAAATAAGGGCCCTATACCTAAAAAAAAAAAGATCTCACCCCATAGAGTCATTGACTTAACAGTAAAAGTTACCTCAGAGGTCATCTTGCCCACCCCCTCATTTTACAGAAGGGAAACTGAGGGCCCAGAGAGGTTAAGGGACTTGCCTGAGGCTGCACACTAGTCAACCAATTAAAGATTAATTTGGGCTAAAAAGTTACTGTTTTAAAAATTCAATGGGATGATTAAACTTAGTATCCATTCACACATTAATATGAATTATTTTTGTGTTATCAAGTTTGCAATAATAAAAACAATAGCTAGCATTTATATGTAGCACCTATTAAGTACCAAGGACTGTGATCAATGCTTTACAAATACGTCATTTGATCCTCACAACAACCCAGATAGGTAGGTGCTATTATTATCCTCATTTTACAGTTGAGGAAACTGAGGAAAGCAGGTTAAGTGACTTCCCCAAGGTCATACAGTTAAGAAGTGTCCAAGGTCAAATTTGAACTCAGATCTTCTTAACTCCGGGACCAGAGCTCTATCCACTGCATTGTAAACTGCTGATAATACAATGAATGTCAAGCTGTGATAATGTTATTGGATAATCAAATCAATATCTAAGATCAAGGATAATCGAGAACCAGGAATTTGCCTTGAAAAGTGGGCTTATTAGGTTCATGTTTCACTTCTAACTATGTGTGGAATTTCTGAAAAATTACTTACCCTTGATAGGCTCAGTTTCCTCATCTATAATACAGCCTCTGAGGCACTGTTCAGTTCTAAATCTATGATCCTGCTGCCAAGTCCTAAAATAAATCAAATGCATAAGTGGAGGGATAAGGTGTCTTTAATTGAGATAGCAGGGTAGTAGGGTATAGTCATGAGACTCCTCCAGCCACTCTGCAGTCCAGGGAAGGAAACCCACTTTGTTCTGTTTTGTTTGTCTTTTTGTTTTGTTTTCGGGTTTGGTTTTTTTTTGTTTTTTACTCTTCACAATCTAACACCATAAATCCCAATGAGAGACACAAGGACATCAAAAGCCATTTGGTAGATGATCTGGCTCAAGCTGACTTTGTTTACAGGCAGGTCCCAGGATGGGGACTTAGCTCAAACATAATGGAGAATAAATGCCTCCTAGAGTAGGAATGCAAGGACATTACTAGAATTCTGAGATTACTAGGATTGTTCAGAGGGAATAGTAGATAATAGGGGATATTACATTTGATATTAACAATCTTTTTGTCATTATATTAACAATTTTTCTGTCACTATCATCACAGTTGTTGGAAAAGGAAGGCAGGCCTAGGTCAAATGAGGGATTTTGGACAACCAGAAGGCAGTATGGGGCATTGGTTACCTGTGATGCACAGAAAAAGAGACAAAAGCCAATTCCTGAAAGGGAGACACCATCTCCCAGACAATACACGACGACTTCACCATAGCAGCTGCTGAGTCCTTAAAAATTATTTTACATGATATTGTTTTCATCATTCATGCCATAGAATACCAATGCCCTAGTTACAATATCAGGACTAGTTTGGAAGTCTACAAAAGTCAATTTCTCCCAGTGCTACCCTTTTTCCCAGACTTGGCTAGTCTAGCCTCTCCTGTGCTGTCCAGGGTCTCCCCATCCCATCATTCCCTGTCCCCTAAGCTGGGAGGAGAAAAGAAAAGCTAAAGAGAAAAAGGAAGGAAAAAAAAAGATAGGAGCAAGCTCTCTGTTCTGTGCCCTTCTCCCACTGCCTGCCTTTTTCTTTGTCATTTCAGTATTCATTGATTTCCTTACTCGCAGGGCCACAGACTGACATCGCCGTCCTCCTGAGGGTTGAGAGTTTGCTCTGTCATTTCAGATTGTTTGATTTCACCTGCGAATGTGGAGGGTTTGTTTTATATGATTCAACAGGCCCCATGAGTTGTGCTGTATTGTTAATCCCTTGTGAGTGCCAGGGGTCTGCATTTTGCTGCTGTATATTGTTTAGCTTCATCTTCCACTAGACCTTCGGCAGGCGCTGTGTCTTATCCTTTTGTATCCTTCACCTCACTGAGCACAACCCTGAGCACAAGAGGGATTCATTCATCTTTTCAGTTCATTTATGGCTTAGTAAATATTCCTCCAGTAACCAATCATTCAACAAACACTGATCGAAGACAGACTTCCCCTCTAGGGCGCTGACACAAGCTAGTGGTTGAGGCCAATTAGTGGGCCTGAGCAAAGACCTTCCCCAGGAAAGAGGGGTGGAGTTCAAGCTGGGATCCAAGTGAAAGCACAAGTCAGAAGCCAGGCTGTGTCAGGAACTAGAGGTTCTTAGAGACAGCAAAAGTCCAATGGGCTAAATAGAAGTGGGAGTGGTAGCAAGTCATTTCAGGACACCTCCTGATCTCCATGTTTGCTCACTTCTCTATCAAGGGTTGTCATCAAAAAGAACCAACCAGGTTATCACAGATATCTGAAGCACTCTTTCTCCTTCTCCCCTATTATTGAGTCAGTGGTTGTGTTGTCATGGAGGTAGCATGGTGTCAATGGACAGAGAATTGGCCTTGTAGCTGGTCAGGAAGACCTGGGTTTAATTCCACCAGACTATATGACCTTAGGCAAGTTATTTGACCTCTCAGTGCTCCCAGCTAACTCTCACAGTGGTTTTAAAACCTTTTGTGTGTGTGTGTGTCATGGGCCCCTTTGGCTATCTGGTGAAACCTATGGATCCCTTCTCAAAATGTTTTTAACTATATAGGGAAACCAATTAGGTTGAAATAAAGATGTAATTTTTTTTCCCCATCCAAGTTTATGGTCAGAGGATTCTATGTTAAGAATCTCTGCTTTAAAACCATAAGCTATGAGAAGGGATAGATGTACATTAGCAGAGGAATTTCCTAACTGGGTGCTCCCTTCCACAGATGAAGTCAAAGTTCTGGTTAAAAGATACATACATATATACATGGGGGCAGGGAGAGAGGGAGAGAGAAAGAGAGAGAGAAAAGACAGAGACAGAGAGAGAATGAGAGAGACAGAGAGAGAAAAACAGAGAAAGACAGAGAGACAGAGAGAGAAAGACAGAGAGACAGAGACAGACAGAGAGAGACACAGAGAGAGAGAGAGACAGAGAGAGAACACATTCTACCCCTGACTTCCTCAAATACTATGACTGTACTAAGTCTCAGGAATCTGTAAGCAGACTATTAGCTGGCATAGACTATTAGCTTATGATCCTAGTAGGTCTTGAAAAACTAACTTTATGAAAATTTGAAAGATTGAAAGGTCATTGAACAAACTGAAAGATATAACCTGGTATTCAAAAGGGCCATGTTGAGCTTAGGAGTTCATCTTCTATCTGAAACATCGAATGCTCCCAGGAGTTCCAATATGATGAATACCACAACCCCTTTCCAACTGGTCCATCAGGTCAGGCTATCAAGGGTAGGTAGTCCTGGTCCCAGATGACATTGTTCAAGGTTCTAAGGTACTGGCAGTCTCATAATTTGCTTGTCCTCATTTTTTACAAACAGCAATAGGGAGAGAGAGGGCCAGATGAACTCTTTTTTTCTATTTGTAATACTCTGTTAAAATAATTGGGCAGCTAGGTGGCACAATGGATAGAGTACCGGGTCTGGATCAGGAAGACCTCAGTTTAAATCTGGCCTCAGACACTTACTAGCTGTGTGACCCTGGGCAAATCACTTAACCTTTGTTTGCCTCAGTCTCCTCACATGTAAAACGAACTGGAGAAGGAAATGGCAAACCACTCTAGTATCTTTGCCAAGAAAACCCCCAAAATGGGGTCACAAAGAGTCAGACACAACTGAAACAACTCAGCAACAAACAGCAGTTATAATAGCTAGCTTATTTTAAGCCTGGGGGCAACCTAATAGCTCCTAAGATTCACTCTTCTTCAGCTTTTAGGGAATTAATTTTGGATGAAAAGTTCTGAGTTTAGTTACAATTGCTCTGAGTTCACAGCTAGGAAAATTCCTACCATTAAGGCAGAGATTGGGCTCTCTTCCTAACCTTATATTCGTATCTATTTCTAGTAAACCTGTGGCCTCTTTGTGGTTTAGACAAAATTCAATTTACTGAAAATATTTGAGTATAAAACCAAGCAAATTCTATAACAGTGTCTTCAGATAGACAGGCAACGGAAGGGGAAGTTGGGGAAAGAGCCGACCTCTTCCTGGGACTTTACTCAGCTTGGGTCCTCTTCTCTGAGATGCCTGCAGAGCCAATGACTCTTCTTCATATCACCCTTTTCTGTCACAGCATATCTTTTGCTCTGCTCCTCAAAGTTGTGCTGAAAATGCCATGCCTGCTCCAGCCTCTCAAATCCAGACCCTCAGAATGTCTCCCTCTAGTATGGAGATAGCTTCTTCCTATATACAAATTCCTATATACAAATGGCCTTGATGTTGTGACTTACCTAAAGTCTCATAGATAGGAAGCATCAGAGGTGGGATCTGAACCCAGATCCTCTGCCTCCAAAGTTGGGCTCTTTCTACTACTATATCACACTGCTCTTAAAGAATTGCCTGGAGCACTAAGAGGTAAAATGCCTTTTCTATTGCCACACCACCAAGTAAGGATGTAGGGAGACAGGATGTGAACCCAGGCTTTCTGACTCCAAGTCTGTCTCTCATGAACAGTGTAGGCTCATAGATTTCGAGTTGGAAGGGACTTTAGTGGTTATCTTGTCTAACCCTTTCAGGTTACAGATGAGTAAACTGAGGCACAGAGATGTTAAGTAACTTGTCCAACATCGCACAGGTTAATAGCTGAAAGAAGGATCGGAACTCAAGTCTCTTTCCAATGCATGATTATACTGACCTTTGTGTGCTGAAAAATGCACCAAGTACCATCAATACACCTTGAAGTTTAAATCTGTTGTCTGAAAACTCTTACCTTTAGCTCCTTGCCCTGTCAAATAAGTAACTTGGCAGCAATTCTTTCATTCATCCTACAAACACAGTCACTCATGCCAATCTCAGTGCAGCCGGAGGCCCTCAGCCTTGCTGTCTAGGGAACAGATGTAAATGCATGATTCTAATTTGGTGCCATAAAGGCCTGCAGCTGGCACGGGGGGTTCAAATCTCCCCTGTTATGACCCTGGACAAGTTCCCTGCTCCCTCTGGGGCTCAGTGTCCTCCTCTATAAAATGAAGGGCTTGGGCTAGATGACCTCTGAGGTCCCTTCTAGCTTTAAATCTGTGAATTAGTTTTAACCTCATTTAATTTTAAGTGATTTGTTAAGTGATCTGTCCAAGACCATGTTGCCAATATAATTTAGAGATAGGACTTGACCACTGGTCTTCTTGATCAGTAGTCTATCCACTAAACTTGCTGTCCCATGATAGGTGTTCCTTGGTGACAAAGGCAATAAACAGTCGACCTCACTCACCTGTGTCCTTCTTCCCCTGCCAAGGTAGACGTGTGCCTTCCTCCTCTTCCCCCCCCCTCCACTCAGCCACCAGCCTCTTCCATCTGCTCCATCCACTCCCCTGTTCAGCTCCATTCCCCAGACAACTGAATGAGGTGTCTAGGGCAATGGTGTCAAACTCAAATAGAAATGGATCCCTGTGGGCTACACACAGACTTGGAAAACCACAAATTAGCATTATCTATGTTGTACTGTATTTTCATTTATTTTGTTACACTTGACTTGTTCAGTTGTTTTTCAGTTGTGTCTGATTCTTTGTGAATTAATTTGGGGTTTTCTTGGCACAGATACTGGAGTGGTTTGCCATTTCCTTTTGTAGCTCATTTTACAGATGAGGAAACTGAGGCAAACAGGGTTAAATGACTTGCTTAGGGTCATACAGCTGGTAAGCATCTGAGGCTGGATTTGAATTCATGAAGATAATGTCTTCCTTGATTCAAGCCCAGTGCTCTATCCACTACACCACCTCACTGCCCTTCATTTTTTTACACATTTCCCAATTACATTATAATTTGGTTCAGGTGGCACTCCAGAATTTTGCCAGGACTTGCCACATGCAATTTGATACCTCTGTGCTAGGCTGTATCTCTTTCCGCTTAGGCTACACTCAAACTGAGCTCCCCCCATCTCCTCCCTCCATCCCTGGCCGGGTGAATTTTTTCCAGCATGGCTCTGCATAGCTTATACCCAGTCATTCCCACTATTTGTACTTCTTAAACTTGTATATATACCCAGAAGAAATCAAACATAGTAGCATAGTGTTGGATAAACCCAAGGACATTGACTACTGGAGGAAGAACTTACTATCTGACAAAAACTGCTGGGAAAACTGGAAAGTTTCCAGTTCCCAAAACTGGAAGACCAAAGCAATCCAACAAAAATCATATTTAGAATATCTCACACAACATACCACAATAAGCTCCAAATGGATATATGAATGAGATCTAAAAGGTCAGATAATGAATAAATTAGACAAGAGGAGATAACCTTTCACAACTATGGATAGGGAGAAAGTTAACCAAATAAGGGAGAGAATCAAAACAGATAAAAGACAATTAAATTACATAATATTTAAATGTTTTTGGACAAACAAAATCAATGCAGCTAAAATCAGAAGAGAGTTAATTGGGAAAAAATCTTTGCATTGGACCTGATGAAGGTCCAATAATCAAGCTATATAGGCAATTGATTCAAATATATAACAAGAGCCCTTCCCCAGTAGCTAAATGGTCAAAGGATATGAACAGAAAGTTTTCTAGAGAAGATATGAGAGCAATCAACAACTAAATGGAAAAATGCTACAAATCACTAAAAAAAAGGGGGGGAGGCAAATTAAAACAAGTTCTAGGTTCTACCTCACACCATTATCATTGGTTCAATTTTATTTAGAAGCATTAATTAAGGAACCATTACATGTAAGGCTTTGGGAATTGGAAGACAAAAATTATAAGTCCCTGCCCTCAGGGTGCTTATATTCTGCTGATAATAACTCGACATTTATATAGTGGTCTAAAGATAGCGAAGCACTTTATATATATTATCTTACTTGAGCCTCATGACAACTCTCTAAGAAGATACTAGATTTTATTATTCCTATTTTCCGGATGAGGAAACAGCCTAAGGCAGGTTAGGCAACTTGCCCATAGGGACTGCGTAGTCAGTATTTGAGTCAGGATTTGCCCCTGGATCATAACTCCAGCTCTAATGATTTTATCAACTATACCACACAGATGGCTTGGGTTTGTTGTCTTTCTAGCCCAGCTCCTGCCT